TGCCACCACCAGCTCTGAAACTATGGGAAAAACTATGATTTCTCTGTGTTTTCATTTCCTCCTATAGTGCTATGACGATTAAATAAAGTTGATCAGACACTTAACATACTGCCTGTACAATACAATGCAAAGTAAAATGTCTTCTTCAATCATATCTTCTTCATAATCATCACCAGCATCAAAACATTGATCTAAAGAAGTAATTACACAGTGAGATTTCCAATGTTGCAAATGATAAAGAGTTGAAATAGATAGACCACAGGCAGTAGGGGACAAAAGAGGTAGGTGAATTGTGATTCCGGCAGATACAAATCAAAACATCTGTTGAAGAGGTACTATAGTTTTCTCTACACATAAATACTGGGGAAGACTGAGAAAACAGGAGGAACCAATGGAGAGGGTTCTCTGAAAACAGAGCTCAAAGTGTTCCTACAGAACAAATTTTGATGGCAGAATACTGGATTTGGTGAATCTCATCTGGCAGGAACACCTTACACTTCTTTTTGGAGTGAGGCTTCCCATTTTCCATTTCCCGCTGCTTCTTACCCATTTTAAATTTTGGCTCTTCTGATTTCTCTTATTGATGTCTCTAGAGTAGGCCATTGTTAGAATAGAAATATTGCCAATGTACCTGTCAAATAAGTCATCATTTCCTAACTCTCCAATTAATTCAGGAGAGTAGGGGAGACAGAGGCCACTAGAGCAGGAGGGGAACTGAGCAGGCCAGGAGCTGAGATGGAGGTAACTGAGTGGAAGAAGAAAGCAGAATAGGTTGACTGACAGCAGAATATCCTCTGGGAACCTCATGTTCCATCTTTCATTCACTGGCTTCAGGCCCTAGTTTCTAACCTGAACAAATTTTCTCCAAATGGAGTTAAATCACTAAATACACTCTCTGGCACAGACTTTTCTTTTCAGTAGTGTCTCTCTGCATTAGCAAGCAAACTCATGACCTATGTTATTAGATAAGTCAGAGAAAAATATCTGGGTCTGGGAGTTGTCATGAAGCTCTTCATGCCAGAGGGTTTATTTTGAAGGGTGGTCAGGGCTTGAGCAGTCTGGGAGGAGGGACAAGGGCATTTCAGGGCTCTTAGACCAATGAAGAAGGCTGGAAAGGGCAGAACTTTCTCTCAGCATCAACAAGTAAACCATCTGACTGATTCATAAGAAGAACACAAGGTAAGGCTGGAAAGCTGGGTTTGTTTATTAGCAGTAAGGTCAACTTCAGGTTTGAAAACAACTGTTTTATTTTTTAAAAAATAAGCCCCTGTTGTCTTCCAGCCTTAGCCTCACAGAGAAAGTAGGGAGGAAGAACCCAATGAGAAAACATTCCTTAAGGAAACAGAAAATACTTAGGAGAGAGAATAATTTAAACTCCAGTATACATTAAAACACACAAATCAGACGAATTGAAAGCTGTGGGCATCAGTTCCTGGGGAGAGAAGGGAGGGGGACTCCAACAGAAAGAGGAGAGAGCTTGTGGACCCAGGGAGGGCAGCCTTAGGAGGAGGCCCTGGAAATTCTCATTCTCCAGGATTCACAACAGTCCTGGGTTCCTCAATCCAATGGTGTCAGGTGATAAGAGTGGAGAAGGGTAAGGAGAGGAGAGGAAAGAATATAGAAACACCAGATATAGAATCCTGGACATATTTTACATTTAGCTTAGATTTGAATTCCCAAGAACCCAGACCTCTGAGATCATTCTCTAAACTAAAGCCCCCCAGCCTGACTCCATTCTCCCTCACTTGGACCGTCAGCACCTTCCACTCCGTAGATTCCTGGCCGTTGGACTCCTTGGATCTTACTGCAGCAAATAGATACCTCACAGACTCAGTCTCATGGAAACAAACAAAACCTAAAATCAAAAGAAAAGGCAGGCTCTTCCTTTCATGCTTGTTGTCTTAGTTTTATTCTAATTCCCCTTAGTTTGTAGGCCAGAAAATGGACTACAATTTGTGATTTGGGCTATTGGAAAATGTGTTATCTGATAAAGAACTTACATCCAGAAAATATTTAGAACTCCTACCAATCTACAATCAAAAGTTAATTAACTCAGTTTTTTAAAAAGGGCAAAAGGCTTAAAAAGACATTTTACAAAAAAGTAGATATACAAATGGTCAATAAGCATTTGAAAATGTTGTCACCATCATGAGTCATCAGGAAAATACAACTTAAAACCATAATGAGATAGCAGTTCACACCCACTAGCATGGCTAAAATTAAATAGAACGATAATGCCAAATATTGGTGGGGATGTAGAGCAACCGGAACTTGAATACATTGCTACTGGGAATGTCAAATATTACAATCATTTTGAGAAACTCTGATGATTCCCTTGTAAAGTTAAACATACACCTACCCTATGACCTTTATATAATTCCACCCCTAGTTATTATGCAAGAGCAATGAAAACCTGTGTCCACAGAAAGACATGTATAAGAATTTTCACATCAACCTTATTCATATTAGCTAACCACTAGAAACAACCCAAGAGTTCATTAGCAGGAGAGTGGATAAACAAGTTGTGCCATATCTATACAATGGTACTCTACTCAGCCATAGCAAGGAATGAGCTACTTGTATACACAGCAACATGGATGAATGTTGATACAACGAGAACAAAAGAAGCCAGAAGTTGAAAAACAATATTCTGTATAATTTCATTCATATGAAATTTAAGAATAGGCAAAACTGCATCTATGATGATAGAAATCAGAAAGTGGTACCTAGTTGTGCGTTGAGGAGGGGAGGAATGGATACATGTAGGCTCCGTAGGATGATGGAAATGCTCTATAGTTTATTTTTGGCGATGACTACATGGATGCATAAAATTGTCAAGACTCAGAACTGAATGCTTAAAATATGTATATTTTATATGTAAATTATGCTTTAGTTTTTAAAATACAGTAACAAAAAAAGATATTTACAGGCCTGGTTCTATAAAAGCCTATTTATACTTTAAATTATGCCCTTTTTTTTTTTTTTTGAAGGAACAGGTTCTCTGTCACCCAAGCTGGAGTGCAGTGGCATAATAATAGCTCACTGCAACCTTGAACTCTTGTGATTCACTCAAGTGATTCTCCTGCCTCAGCCTCCCAAGTTGCTAGGACAACAGGTGCATGCCACCATGCCTGGCTAATTTATTATTATTTGCTTTGTAGAGAGAAGGTCTCACTGCGTTGACCAGGCTGGTCTTGAACTCCTGGCCTCAAGTGATCCTCTCACCTTGGCTTTTCAAAGCACTAGGATTATAGGCACAAGCCACTGCAGCCAGGCTAAATTATCTTTTATAAATAATCTCTTTAGTCTCCTCAGTCTAACCCCTTTCTCTAGTTAGAGAATGAAGTACCTTTCAAAGATGGGGCTACAACAAAAACCTGCTTTGTCTGCCAACCCACTGGTTTCCAGCTCCCCCAACTCCCCACAAAAAGTAATACTGGGTTTTCCTGCTGAGCTCAGCAGTTCTCTAAGTTGACTGAAAAGATGTGGGGTGTGAAATGAGAACCTAGGGCAGCGAGGTTGATACTTTCACAGTTTCCCTACTTCTGCTTCAAAGAGAGCAAGTACAATTTAATCTGTGTCTATTTTGCTTGAAGAAAGGTCTTGCTGTTAGACAAAAAATGAAATTCCGTGATCCACACAGCAGCCCCTTGTGAGGGGCTACTTGGCTTTCCCATCCCAGTGTGTATGTCCCCAGCATGCGATATTAGAGCATTGCTCTCACTTGCTTCAATCCATCTCTGTCTCCCTGTGTTCCTGATGCTCCTGGAGCAGCAGTGTTTGATAACTTGGAAGGTTATGCCACGTGGGAGCTGGCATGAGACCCAGCATCATGAAAACCACTCAGCTAGAGCTCTGGGATATATGCTTAGATGGCCTGGGCCATCCTGGGAATGTGTGACCTGGAGTGACACTTTCCTCTTCTGAGAAAAGAGTATGACAGTACCCATGCTATCATCTTCACAGGGCTGTCATGGCAGTAGCATGAGATAACAGATCTGAAAACCACATTTAACAGTTTTAATTTTGATTCACACAGGTGGAATTATCTAGTTCAGTGCTTCTGAGTTCCTAGTCTGTGGGTGATTGCAGAGATTGTAAAGAAAGTGTAGGATTTAGTCTCCATTTGCAGAGAACTGAGAGTAGACCAGGTGAAATCATGTGAGTTAAGGTGTAGAAAAATGAACAATAAGCAAGTTGCTATTAGGGCAGTGTTTCCATTCATTACATGCTTTAGTATTCATTAGAATCATTATTGCCTTTCAATTGTTTATAATCTGCTTGAATCTCTGGAGGTGTGCTACACATTTATACTTTGTTTAGTCACTATTTTTAGGTGTCAGCCTTTGTAATAAAAGGACAGAATCCTGCACAGAACTCAGGAACCAGAGCAGGACCACTGGGTTTGATAGGCACCAAGTCTTTAACTGATTATGTAACTTTGGGCCATTCACTAGGCTTTTCTAGCCCTCAGTTTCTGTTTCTGAAATAGATCCTCTACTTAATTTCTGGGGACCTCTTTAATTATGAAAATTGTTACAGTTACAATTGTGGGATGGTAGAAAAAGTCTTTGAATCAATAGAAGAACTTCGTCCTTCTCTAGCAGGGAAAATCACCTCATCTGTCTATGTGAGGGTCAACTTCCTCTTCTAGAAGATGGACCTGGAGATCTCCACCATGCCTGCCTCTCTAGGTTATTGTGAGGACTGAACAGCAAGGAATATGCAGAAACTTTATAAGCCATAATTCATGATATAAATGTTTGCTGCTCTTCCCTTGCTGTTGCTATAGGCATTGAAACACCTAGAGAGCACTCTTGGAGCCGTGTATACAAGAGTACATGGCAGTGTTGCTTCAATAGTCTAAGGGTTGAAGCATGCCAAAGCAGAGACTGGTCTGAGGGGTAGATTCATGAATAAGGCTTGGAATCATGAGCCTTAACCTAGCCATCTTTCATGGACCTGGTGAGCCTGTGCTGATGACAGTGGTTCCCTCACAGGTGACAGCAGAGCTAGATGCCTGGAATGAAGACCTGCTTCGGCAGATGAATGACTTCAACACAGAGGACCTAACCTTGGCAGAACAGCGGCTGCAGCGCCACACAGAACGGAAGCTAGCCATGAACAACATGACCTTTGAGGTCATTCAGCAGGGCCAGGATCTGCACCAATACATCATGGAGGTCCAGGCATCAGGTGGGTGACCTCGCTCATCTCCTGGCAGGGGAGATGGTGAAAACAAGAATACCAGCTAGCCTGCAAGGAGCACTGCTACATCATTTATTCATTTTATTCCTACGGATACAAAGAATAGAGATTTTTGCCCACATTGTTTTTTTAACAAAAGGAGAGAAACGAGGCCAGGTGTGCTGGCTCATGCCTATAATCCCAACACTTTGGGAGGCTTAGGTGGGTGGATCATTTGAGGTCAGAGTTCGAGAGCAGCCTGTCCAACATGGTAAAACCACATCTCTACTAAAAATACAAAAATTAGCTAGGTGTGGTGGCAGACGCCTGTAATCCCAGCTACTAAGGAGGCTGAGGCAGGAGAATCACTTCAACCTAGGAGATGGAGATTGCAGTGAGCAGAGATCATGTCACTGCACTCCAGCCTGGGCAAAAGAGTGAAATAAAAAGAGAAAAGAAATGAAAGCCATGAGAGCTGAAATAGTACCCAAAGTTACCCAATTAGGTTATGCTAAGATGGGAATAGGGCCAGCGTTTCCTGGACTGCAGAGGGAGTGAGAGAACTGATGATGGCAAATAGCACAGATTACTTTGAAAAATGGTGGCCTGGAAAAGCAAACCAGAAGCAGTCAGACATCCATGTGGATTGTACTCTTTTGCTCCCCAACCCCTGCTGCCACCATACATTCTCTAGCCCTATCCTCTACTCCCAAGCTATCTTCTTGTCTCCTGTTCTTGCTTCTCAGTCTCCTCAATTTTTAATCACTGGTCTGTGCATGAATATAAGCAGTACTAATAAAAATTTATGACAAGACCATATAATTTTATAACTTCTCAGAAAAACATGGCTGAGTTACTCAGATTTAACTTCTTTTCTTGCTCAAGATTTATTCAAAATTTATCTAAGAAATGAGTGAGTCCTTAATATTATACTTCCCACTCCCCAAGTCAGCCTTTGATGTTAGAATGAGAGAGCACCATGGTGATCCTGAGGACTGCTGGTCCAGAAGAAAAGAAGTCACATGGCTGGTCACATCCCAGGGGAGTGCTAGAGCCCAGATCTCTTCTTTCCACCCACTCTGCTGCCCTCCTACCTGGGTCCTTGTTGGCTGAGGTTCCTCACTGTCCAGCACAAGGTAGATAAGAGCTAAGGCCATCAATTCTAAAACATAGTTGGGCCATGTCCCTGCTTATCCCGAAGGTTATGGAAATCCTGAGATTGTCAGGGGCACCTTAGCAGTTTTACTGAACTTAAGTACTGTGTTTCTTTCACTGACCTGAAAGAGTAAAAACCAGCATTCGAAGGGACTTCACTCCTAACCAGAGAAGAGACAGTCTAGTGAATTCTGTTCACTTTCGTCAGCATAGTCTGTCCTTGAATTTTCATCTGTGCTGTGAACAGACTGCCTCTGAGACCCAGGCCTGTTTATATGCAGCTGAAACCCAGGCCTATTAACAAGTACGCAGCTAGTGCCCAGGATAGTCCCAGGAAGGGCTACTCACCTTGCAGTCTGTCTGGGGACATTTTTTAAATGACAGTGCCCAGGCCCCATGCCCTGCTATTCTGATTTAACTACCTCTAAATGGAACTTGGGCAACTTGTTTGCAAAAGCAAACAGGTCCTAAGGTGATTCAACTGTGTGCTCAGGGCCAAGAACCACTGCTTTTAATCATGGTAATTAAACCACAACAGCCGACATCTGTGGAATGACCTAGCCAGCGGCTCTCAAAATGTGATTCCCAGATCAGCAGCATTAGCATCACCTGAGGATGTTTGAAATACAAGTTCAAGGGCCCATTCCTGAACCCATTACATCAGAATCTCCTAACATTGTTCTTTCCTCACTATGGAATCATCTAAATGTTTGCTGCGATTCCTTTGCTGTTGCTGTAGGCATTGAAACAGATAGAGCATGCTCTTAAAGCTGTGTACACAAGAGTAGATGGCAGTGCTACTTGAATAGTCTAAGGGTCAAAGAATTCCAAAGCAAAGCTGATCTGAGGGGTCGATTTGTGAATAAGGCTGTGTTGCTTAAATAGTCTAAGGGAGAGCAGAGGGTGGCCCAGCAATCTGTGGTTTGATTAGCCCTCCAGGTGATTTTGTGCACCACTGACCTGGCACGTCTGGGCCCAGCAGCACCAGCATCACTTGGGGGCAGATTAGAAATGCAAAATTTCTGGCCTTATCCCCGACTTGTGAATCTGAACGTACATGTTAACAAAATCTCCAGGTAAATTGTGTGTGCTTTAAAATTTGGGAGTCAGTGTTCTAGGACATGGACTGTACCTTATTAGGGAAGTAGGGGAAACCATAATCCATTCTCTGTGATTGGGAATCTTACCTGGACTCAGGATTTAGACCCATAGCCTGCCCTCATGGTGCTTACTATGGCTGTCTATGTAGCTACGACTGCAAACCATAAGAGAATGCAGACACAGTATCTAGCAGAGAGATAGGCAGAGAAGCTATGCAGGGATGCTCACATTTCATCCCTCATGGTGGCTGTGTCTAGCAGGAAGAGGAGCCTTGTCTGCCTGGAAACCTGCAGCACTTACTACCAGGGTGCTGACGTGACCATGGGTAAGCCAACCTCTGTCCCAAGAGCCAAGTATCCATAGTAGCAGAAACACTGTCGGGAGCGGGAAGTTCCTGAAGACTGCTTATGACTGAGGTGGGCTGTGCTTGGCATCCACCTAAATCATGAGGGCTGAGTGGGTGAAAACACCCCAGGCAGATGGGCTGCCCACCCCCGCAATATCCTGTTCTACAAATAAGCTTTGTTAGAAGGGGTTTGATGGGCCTCTTCTGTGCCTCTTACTGAGACTGGCTGTTCTCCTGCTCCTACCACAGCTACCTGTTCAGTCTGGCATAGCCTATGAGGCTTTCAAGAGAATGAATCCAGGGGTTTTAGGAATGCTCACTCCCTGTCTTATGGCTGAATGCCTGGTTCTATAGCGGAGGCATCTAACTCATCTCTGGGCTTAGGGAAATGGAGGGTAGATTCACACCAGAGCTGGAGGGTGGGAATGGGGTAAGGGGTAAGTACCTTTTCTTTCTCTTTAGACTTTCGTTTCTTCTTCTGTCTAGTGTGGTAGGCCTTGATTCTTAAGGTTCCCTCCAGTTCTCACTTTCCTTAATTCAGCCTAACTGCCCTCATGGGTCACGTCAGCACCCTGGTAGTAAGTGGGCTTAGAGTGGGCCTTGTCTGCCAATGGCTAAGAAATGTAAGACTTCAGAGACACAAGACTGAGGCAATAAATGGCTTGGGCATTTATAGTCTTTGTTTAATGGACTGTATTTGGACTAAAGGTAAAATAAACTGTTGTCTTAGAAAAAGGACAATTAGCAATATTAAGACTTTTTTTTTTTTTTTTTTTTGGTATTTAGTCCTTCATGCTAAATTAAGGGCTTATGCTTTGATTTTATAGTAGCAAATGGAAGTAGGGAATTTTTGTATGCTTCTTTTCAAAGGTGAAGTTTGTGATGTTGAGCCAGGCTTTACTAATCCCTCTGGTGTGCCCACAACTCTAACCAAAGCAAAAGCCTTTGCTTAACTTAACATCAGTCACAGGAATAGAGTAAATAGGAACAGTTTCTTAATTTTCTCATTGTTCTTTCCTCACTACGGAATCATTTATTTGAGGCTCAAGTTGTGAGGTGGTAGCTTTTGCTGAAAGAAGTTGGGGGAAATACACTGGCTGAATTCAAGGTCCAGTTCCACCAGCAACTAGCAGTCTGATTTTGGAAGTCCGTTTTCTTTCTCTCTATACTGTAGTTTCTTCTTCTGTCTAGTGTGGCAGGCCTTGATTCCTAAGGTTCCCTCCAGTTCTTTCCATAGTTCAGCCTAACTGCCCCCATTGGCCAGGACATACTTCTTCTCTCCCATGAGAGCTGACCATGCGACTGTTACACTTGACTTTAGGAATAAAACGAGAGTGACATACCCTATGGATATGTTGCTTTTGTAATTTACTCAAAGCATCAAATTCTCTCTTTATACAAGGTTTGCAAGTGAAAAATCTCTGGAGTCTGTGGCCATGATGCTTAAAATTTACTTTGCCTGAGAAGAACCCAACCCCTACATTTAAAAATAAATAAATTCTTAAGCTAAGGTTTGTGAGGATCGCTTTTCTCCTTGAGCCTAGAGGCTAGAACACAAAATCAGGAGGAAATCCCGGGTTGAAATCCCAGCCACACCTCTTAGGACCTGTGCATGTTCTTGTACGTGTTCGCCAGTCTCTCTCTGAAAAGTAGTGATCATCAGAATCCTTACCACGTAGGGTCACGTGAGGATGAAGTGGGATAACATGGGAGGATAGAAAGGGTTCGGTGAAGCTTGACAGCTAGTATATTTTGTACTCATATTCTAGCGCATTCTGCATTCTGTTGAAGTTATTTGGGTTTGAAGTTATTAGTTTTTCCAGTAGCATAAGGGTAGAATTCTTTCTTCCTTCTTTACATTTCCAGCATCTAGCAGAGCGAGTGTCTTGTGCCTATCAAATTCTCAATAGTAATGTTTGCTGAATTGATCAAGAATGAACATCAGTGTGGATGGAACAGATGTAGGTAAAAATAATGGAACACAAATAATTTTACTAGTGTCAAAAAGGAAAGAGAAAAGATCTGTGTATGTGTGTGTGTTTTTTTCCAAAATGGAAGCTACTCTGGGGTTAATAGGAATGTGGATCTTGGAGGGCTAAGAGGAGGGGAAGAAGCAGCCTTGATGTAAAACGATGATTCTTAACCTGGCTGTAGATTGAGAATCACTAGGGGAACTTCTTAAAAATACCAGTGTCTGGGCCCCATCCCTCAGGGAGTCTTAGTTAATTGGTCTGGAGTGGGCCCAGATTTTTTTAAACTTCCCAAGTGATTTTAAGGTACAACCAGAGTTGAGAACACTGATCTAAAAACCTCATTAAAGGACTTTGTGATTTCTGAACTGTTAGGTAGAGGTAGTGACACAGAAAGAGGAATGCAGAGAGGAGGAGAAAAGAGAAAAGATGATGTTCTGATCCGAGGCAGATACCGATATTTAAAGAACACAGTTTTTGGAAACATGTTACAAGTATGGGCAGCATGGCCAGAAATATCTAAATCTTACTCTAGACCACAGTCACCTCTCTCCTTGAGGAAATTAAAGTGGTACCCCCATCTGGCAACAAAGGAAAGCAAACTAATGCTTATTGCTAGCTGTGACTTTTAGCCCTAAACAAACAGCAATGCAGAGCATTCCGCTGAGTGTAGCAGAAGGTATATCTGTTTCCCCATGTTTCTGGCCATTGTACCGTCTTATCCAGTGGTTCATAATCTTGGTTCCATGTTGGAATCACCCCCGGAGCATGAAGACTTACTAACGGCTGGATCCCAGCCACAGAGATTCTGATGTTATTGGTCTGGGGTGTGGTCAGGACGTGGCGATTTTTAAAAAATTCTCCAGCTGATACTTGGGAGGCTGAGGCAGGAGAGTCGCTTGAACCTGGGAGGCCGAGGTTGCGGTAAGCTGAGATCGCACCACTGCACTCCAGCCTGGGTGACACAGCGAAACTCAGTCTCAAAGAAAAAAAAATTATCCAGCTGAATCTAATATGAGCCAGGGTTGAGAGAATTAGTCTAACAGCATTATTGTTTCCAATGATATACATTAGGCAAGTACATAAACACCTGTCAGTAAGATTTTATATTTACATCTTGTACAAGCCATTCAGTAGTTCCATCAGCAATCAAAGTGTATTCATTATAATTTCTCTGAGGGAGAGGCAAGTGAGAAAATGAATATTTGAGCCTACTGGATGTTAGGCACTGTATACATTAAATCTCACATAGTTCTCACAACATCCTGAAAAGTCCTCGTTGTGATTTCCATTTTACAGACAAGGAAACTCAGGCTCAAAGAGGGGAAGGAGCCCAGAGTCTCACCATTCACAGCATGCAGAGCAAGCCTAAGCCTGCTCTTAGGTACTTTCCACCACAGCATATGACCTTAGTTCTCTAAAGAGGCTCATTTGTTCATTGATTAGGTATTTATTGGGCGATATGAGTGAAGCATTGTGCATTGTGCTAAGGCTTAAAGAGGCAGAGATGGATAAGACTGACATGGCCCTGGCCATCAGAAGTCCAGCATTCCTGGGACAACATGGACAAATTAATAAGGAACTAACCTCAGTGGAAGCGTTCTGACTGGGGTATGGGCACAGGAAATTGGGGGGGCACAACAGAAAGAAGTCTCAATAGAACTTTTTAAGTAGAGCCTGACAAGTGATTTCATCACAAATATATCTACTACTTGATGGAAAGAGGAAACATGTCTTTTCGCATGTTTGAGAGCCTCTAAGAAAAACAAATAGATATAGCATTAGATTGAGAGTGTTAATGTCAACATAAGGAAACTCTGCCTGCTGCTGATTGACAAATGCTTACCATTTGATGGGCTTTAATTGGGACTCGTGTCAATGTGTTTGGGGGCAGTGGGAGAGAGGATAATTTCTATTCTTCTAGGTGTGGCTGGAATAAATCTTCATGTTCCTTGCATTTACTCCGTCCATAACATGATGTGTTCCTAAGGAGTGTAGAGGTGCAATAAGCATTGTCTTCATCCATTTTATTTCCTATGTTCATCTCACGTAAAACAACATCAAATGAGCTGGATGAAAATGCAGGGACCGATTCTCAGGACATGCTGGGAGCCTGCCCTGGATGACGTCCTGAGTAGGTGGCTATCCTCTTTGATAAGTAACATAGTGTGGCAGAGGTGAGCCATGAGGCTCACTTAGAAAGACATTTTGCCCAAGCCCAGCATCCTGAACACCAGAGACACGTGCAGAATGAATATGAGCTACAACAAATCCACACTGAGACTGGAAGTGAGGAAGAGCGTTTGCTTCTATAGATGGATCTTAAATTGCATTTCCAGAAAGCAAAGATAAGGGTCAGGGGTCATCCTACTATGCCAAGCACCGCAGATGTAGAAATTTTTGTATTCCTACTTTTTATTTCAGTCAAGGCGATGCTCTACCTCATCCCCTCAGTAATTGAAAATAGTAACTGGAAGGAGTTGGCTGCCAAAAGAACAAGCCGTTCTTTTCTGTCTCCCACAGATATTTCAGGAGCTGGGACTTGGAATTATGAAACAGATACAAAAAATAAACATGAAAAGATACTGAAATTATTACCATGTAACACCAGAAAAAAAGAGTGTTCCCACTCTCCCATATTGTCCTTATATAAAACACTATTTTTGCCTCCAGAGATGAATTTCCCTTAGCATGTACAGACTTTCCTTATACTTCCCCGACTATATGCTGCAGGTGTGTTGGTGGTGGCAGTGATGGATTTCTGATGGTGTGAGTTAGAGTGATGAGGAAATCTCCTAAAGGGGATTTATTTTTTAGGTAACTATATGTTGAGATTGGCAGGCTCCCCATGGAATTACGCTACCTTTTTGGTGACTTATGTGCTGAACTTTTGAGTCTGAACTCCATCATTGTTTGGAATCTTGTTCTTTAGCATCTCGGACAAAGTGTCAGCATCAGGACCAAAGCTACATTGAGTCTAGATTGTTGGATGAGGAGCCAGGGAAAGGATTTGGACAGAAGAAATTGCAGAGCCAGGTGGACTCAGGGATCAGAATAAACAAGCAGTCCAGAGTTAGGACTTTCCCAGGGCTAAGGATCTAAGCAAGGCTGAATAAGAAATATGTAGACAATCCAAATCAAGAAACAACATGGGTCACAACTTGCAACAAGTCGGAGAGATTTAGAAACAGAGAGGGTATGAATGTAAGAAGGCAGAAAGTTGAAAGTTTAAGGTGAGAGTCAGGAGTCAGGAAAGCCACAGGTCAAAGAAACAGTGATCTATATTTATTGTGTGCCACGAGTATACAGTAATATGTGTGTATGTGAGATACTTTACATGAATCATCTCATTTAATCCAACAAGTTTAGGAGGTAGGTAGCTTATGAGGTAGGTAGATATGTAAATTCATATTTTACATATGAGAAAAATGAGGCTTCTGAGAGTCTAGGTAGCTTGTCCAAGGTCAGGATTCCAACTCAGGACTGTTCCAAAGCTAGTACACTTTCATGTAGTCTTTGAGAGCCAAGTAAGGAATCAAATCTAGTATACTTTTCATGTAGTTTTTGAGAGCCAAGTAAGAAATCAAATTCAAGTTACTAGTGAAGAGAATGACTTTGATTACTAAAGCAGTTCCTTTGCTCTCTCAAAGTTTATTTCTGAGGCAGAAATTCATTTGATTCATTTCATTAGGCCTGCTGGTGATAATGTATAAATAGGAGAACTGGCATGGTGAAGAGAGGATGTGTGTGCGTGTGCCCCTGTGCTCACGAATTGGGAAAAGTATATAGGAAAAGTAAGACAAGGAGGTAAACAAGGAGCAGGGCCACAGCTTCTGGCTGGCATATATTGACTCAAGCCTCCCATTGTAGGTTAGATGGTTGACAGTTTATTAATGTTGGGTGTTTATACATAAACATTGGGAACACTTGTCAGTGACTGACTGAGCTTACTAATTATAAATCAGTAGAAAAACAATGAGCAAACTCTCCTTGTGTGGGCACAATTTTAATGTGAAGCTTTTTTTAAATGAATAAGCTCTCATTATCCCCGTGGTGTTGCTGGGTTTTATTTATTAGGTGTGTTTGTCTGAGTTTTATAAATAATATATGAGAGCTACCACATATTTCTAACAATTCCTTTTTTAGAGGACCTAAGTAGTTGGCTAAGAAAATCACCACTGTACCTGGGCAACACTTGCAGGGAATTTAAAAGGAATTTTTTAAAAATCACTATTGTGCATCTACTCTCATTGGAGTGAACTTACCATCTAATGATAAATTATATCTGACCAGCTAAAAAAAAGTGTGTTGTTGGCAGAAGTACTGAGACAATCTTTTGGTTTGGTTTTCTGTTTTCCAATATGATTTAGAGGCTTGTTTGTGAATATTCTGGGTGTTGGCAAATCCCCCAGCAGGAATTGCTGGGTGCTGTTATGTCTAGGGATGAACCTCTAGATAACTGTAATTTCTGTTGATAATAAGGAACTGATCATCTGTTGAAAAGGAATTCTTGAGCAAAGGATTAGTTAATACAAAAGAGATGTCATAATCTTAGCATCCCAAACAAGGGCCTATTGTGGTACCCAGTTTTACAGAGGAATGTTTAGAGTTTGGGAGGGTATGAATAAAGGCTGTTTCCAAATTCCAGTTTTCTTATGCATATTGAAGGAAATGTAGCCTTCATGATACTAGCTGGTTTTTAATTGTTTACATTTTTTTAAATCAGGAATTGAGTTGATCTGTGAGAAAGACATTGATCTGGCAGCCCAGGTACAAGAGTTACTGGAATTTCTCCATGAGAAGCAGCATGAATTGGAGCTCAATGCAGAGCAAACTCATAAGCGGCTAGAGCAGTGCCTCCAATTACGGCACCTCCAGGCTGAAGTCAAACAGGTAAGCCCAGGCCTTCTTCCTTCAGCATGGGTTTCTCAGCCAGCTGAGCCTGACCTTGGACCTACTCCTGGTATGAGGTAAGGCATACAGAGCCACTGGTCCCCCTTTAAGTAACCAGCACTTCAAAAATAGGTAAATTAAGGACTGCTTGTATTAGTTTCTGAAAGCTTGGCGGCAGTAACAAATAGACCCAATGATGCAATAGCCCAAAGAACAAACGCATGATTTATCTGTTATATAACAATCCATTCCAGAGTCGTCCTCAGTCACTGAATCTATTCTTTCTTTCTGTCCTCAAGCCTGTCAAGCAGTCCATGGGAAATATACAAATCATTTATCAATAAACATATTTAGGATATAGAGTCAGGCTAATTAATTTGGGGCGCCTGTGTGCCTGATGCATAGTTAATATTCAATAACTAGTAGCAATTACCATCACTATTTCCAAAGTGTGTATGACTATTATAGGAAAGTTTTCTCACCATATTAAAGTTGATTTCAAAAAGAAAAAATAACTTATCTGCATGAAGCATTATGCTAGGCATTTTATCCAAAGACATACCTAGATCTCTAGGAACCTGTGGGAACATACACACAATGACCAAGCTGGCCAGGCATGGTGGCTCATGCCTGTAATCCCAACACTTTGGGAGGCCAAAGCAAGAGAATCACTTGAGGCCAGGAATTTGAGACCAACTTAGGCAACATGGTAAGACCCCACAAAAAATTTTCAGTATTAGCTGAATGTGGTGGTGCATGCTCCTGGTCCCAGCTAATTGGGAGGCTAAGGAAGAAGGAACTCTTGAGTCCAAGAGTTTGAAGATGCAGTGGGCTATGATCATGTCACTGCACTCCAGCCTAGAAGACAGTGAAAGATCCTGTTTAAAAAAAAAAACAAGAAGTACACATATTAAGAACAGACTAAGTGGTAATTGTTTTAATTACTATTTGGACAATGTGGGAGGGTGCGTTAAAGAAGCAAAATTATAATAATAGTTCCATTTTGTTGAGTGCTGTGGGCCTGCTATACACATCTACATCAGTCTTCACAACTATTCTCTGAAGAAGACTTTATTCCCATTTTATAGATTAGGCCACTGAAGCTTAGGAGGTCAGCAGACCATGGTCACCCTGAGGAGAGAGCACACCACCACTTTCCATGGGTCCCAGAGGGCTTCCCGGCAGGGCAGGCACCACATCACTCCTGTGGTTGCCCCTTTCTGCTGCACTCTACCATCCTAAGCAGAGAAACATCTTTCCTTTAAACATTTTTTTCTTGTCTATACCAGCTGCTAGAGCTTTTACCTTTTTTCTTCAGAAAACCATACCTCCCCATGCTGGAAGTTTTAGAATTTAGCCTATTGATTTAGCATGAGGGCCAAAAGCATTTTATTTTGTTTAATTGTTGCTTGATTCCTTATAGTAAGGATATTCCTTGCTTTAATGCCTATGTCTTCGTTATCATATTGTCATTTATTATAATGAAAAAACTATTTTCTCCACTCCCCATCTCTTCCAATCAGTGCTGAGCCACAGCCCACCCACGCCATGCTAAAGATCTGTATTCAGCACAGATTAAATTCCTGAGCCTTAAACAAGGCGGGGTTACAGTGCTGCCCTCCAGGTTGTTTCTGCTTAATGACACTGGGATCACATCTGAGTCTCCAGAGAGAACTGTTATTCATAAGGACTTGGTGGAAATCCTAGCAGGCCCAGAACAGTAATGAGTATGCAAATTCTGCAACTTAGTAGTTAAGATTGGACTTTCTTTTCATATGAGAAGTACTTTCTCATTTATGATCTCATTTCAAGAGAACATGCCCATGGTGAGAAGTGGTGTTACGCTTACTTTTCAAATGAGGAAACTAAGGTACCATAGGATGCGTGCTCCTCAAGGATTCTTGACTAGTTAGCTGAAACTTTAGCCCAGTCCTCCTAAATCCAAGGTCCGAAAGTTTGCCTCTTCTGGCCCCAACTCTTGCCATGTGGTCCCAGGAGAAATAAAAGCCTTCCAACATTGTGTGAAGTGAAATGAGCCAGGCACAGAAAGACAAATATCACATGCATGTGGGGGCCAAAAAAGTTGTTCTCGTAGAAGTAGATAGAGTAGTGGCTATCAGACATAGAGAAGGGTAGAAAGGAGGGAAGGATAAAGAGAGGTTGGTTAATGGACACAAAATTACAGTTAGGAGGAATATGTTCTAGTGTGATATAGTACAGTAGGGTCACTATAGTTAACAATTTATTGTTTATTTCAAAATAGCTAAAAAAAGGAATTTGAATGTTTCCGACACAAATAAATGAGGTGATAGTTATCCCAGTTACAATGTGCACAGCACATTGTCTCTCTGTAGTAAAATATCACGTTTCTCATAAATATGTACAATTATGTTTATCAATTCAAAATTTAAAAATAAAGAAAAAATCCCTCTAACTGAACGGTCTGAGGTTTTCCTGACCTCAACAGTACCATTTCTGAGAAGACAGGAACAGGCATGGCCTAAGCTTAATGGAGAGGGTGGCACCTGTCTGAGGTCAGCAGGGCTCCAGCAGGTCATCGGAGTCCTCTGTCGCTCCTACTTGGTTCTTTCCATCAGTGGAAGGTGGTAGGAATGACCATCTGAACAAAACAGATAACAGAAAAATCATTCCTATATTAATTTTCTTTTGTCCTTGGTTTTTATTTTTCTCCAGCATCAGTGGTAGAGTCAACTCCCTAATTCTCTTTTCCTTGGCTGTTATTAAAATAGAAATATATTCCTTCTCCAACTACACATTCTGTATAGGAGGAGACTGGGCTGATGATAAGTATTTTTTTCAAATGGGGAAGTAGACTGTCTCTATATAAATAATCTGGGGTGGACTAATATCTGTATACTTTCCCATTTATAATTTCATGAGTGGGAAGATAAAAAAGTAATTATTCTGTGGGGGTGGGAAAAGTCCTTATCCCTACCATGACAGAAATGACACACCGTGGGATTGTAGTTTCAAGACTGCAAAATTGCTCAAATCAGATTCTCAGGAAACCTACCAAACCCTTTGCAAAGGGCAGTGGCCCTCGAGATGCCAAGGGACTGCTGCTTGGTTAAGCCACCATGCCTCATTAGACAGCCTTGTTTTCCTTGTCAGTGTAGACCCTTTCCTTAGGGAGTCCTCTGATCCAGTTTCAGAGAAGACATTTGCGTTTGATGGAAATTGGTGGAGCAGGAAATATTGATTTGGAAGCTGTTGACTCTTGGAAAAAGGGAGTTAATTTAGATGTCAGTATTGATCAGTGAGGCTAAATTTAGACAGTAGCTTGAGAGTCTCTTTTGAATATAGTCTCAAGAAAGAAAGAAAGAAAAAGGACACCTTAATTGAAATACCATTAATGGGGGAAGAAAGGAAGAGGACAATAATGGATTATAATACAACTATGTCATTAGAGGTCATAGATTAAAGGTTTGGATTTGATCATGGCTCATCATAACCTTAAGTGTAGTTTTACCAAAATAATGTTAAACCGAAGCACTGAAGAGCAAGGAAGGCATAGACATTAAACTAAAAATTATGTTCATGGACTCAGAACAAATGAAACTGATTGATGCAACTGATTTTCTTTCTGAGGGTTTATATAGGACTTTATATCTAAGATAGATAGGTCAAACAACCCTAGAGAAATGGTGGACCTTGAAGGAAAACCACTCCATAATTACAGACCATGGTGCAGATCCCTAGACCACACAATGCCAAATTACTGTCCAAACCCCACAGAATGCTCTGATAGCTACCGGGAAAATTACTAGTCTGGTGAAGATGACCTCACATCTATTAGATAATTCAGAAAGATTTGAAAGACCTATCTAATGAGGATAAAACTAAATGAACTTCCATACGTATTCCTGCAAAGCAGTGCATTTAGCGGAAAATAAACTAAAATGGATTTATAAAATGTTGTGTCTCTAAGCTATGAAGAAATAAGTTATATTTATTTGATTACTAAAGACATTGGCTTAATTTGCTTCTTTGTACCAAATGCTGGCCAAAATTTGCATATAATCAAGATGGGTGTTTAAGACAAAGGAGAAAATATCAGCCTGTTCTCATTTTCCTGTGGAAAATAGTGTGTTCGGTTCTGTTGACTGAATATTAAAGAGAGGAATTGTAGTAGATCCAAAAGAGTGGCAGCCAACAGGACAAGTACCATCCTTTTGTTTCAAAATGGAGATAATTAAGAGGACATATGGCCACAATCTATAAAACCATGAAGGATGAACATGTACAGTCTCACGGACCACAGACTTTTAGAACTAAGCAACAATGGACATATGACAGGCTCCCTGCTACCATCTGAAGAGCTGATTATTTTTCCCGTGGCTAGAGTTTCAGAAACAACTATGCCCTGTGATAAATCATCTACGGTAGCGGTCCTTAGAGTCAGTTGCCTTAAGTACAGCCTCATAACTTTGCTGTAGGTATGACCTTGAGAACACAGCCATCTATGGGCGGCTTCCCAGCCTACGTAGTTACAAGGCTCAGTCAGCCCAGCTTAAATGGCATCACCATTTGTGGACATCCACATCCACTTACTCAAATCCAGTCTCCTGACTTGGACTTAGCTGAACTTCCCTGGCCTGAAGAAGCAATAGATCTGCATATACAGTTCCTCGCTCAAGCTCAGACTGAGCTGAACTCTTTTGGGCCTAGCTCTTAAGTCTCTAAGCAGTGATATTCTTTCAGTCCTTCATTTCTGCATAACTGATTTTCTTGGATACCCTATGGATGTAGGGGCAGTCTTTGAGTTTTGAAAGAAGTTAGAGCTGGAAATTATCTTTAAAGATCATCTAGCCCATTGGGTAAATTGTTGCCTAAAATGATTGCTCAATGTCAATATTCATTTTATGGTTTGAAAAATAATTTTACATTAATTATTTTATTTTCTCTTTACCCTGTGCCTTATGCAAGGAAAGTGTTCACATTTTACAGATGAGAAAACTGAGCCTTAGGGCGCTTAAATGATGTTTGCAAGGTCACACAGCTCAAAATTAATAGAACCAACATTTTCTCATTTTAATTATGATATTTATTAACTTGCACACATTTGTATGCACACAGAATAGCCAGTTTTATGAACTTGGAAGATGAAAAACAGCAGTAATGGAAAATTATACCAACAAGGATTATCAGTGATTAGAGTAAAAGAATAATGATGACAAAACAGCTAAGGAAGCTACATCACATCAGAATATGCCACTAAGCTCATACAGATTCTGGAATAAATCTCTCTTCTCATTGAGAGAGGTATAAATAATCACTTTTTCCCAGCTTTGCTCTAAACTAAAAATCACCACCAGTACCATCATAATCATCAGACTTTGCATTTCACACATTGTTGCATCAACCCTACAATGCATAAAGGGAAGGTACAATTATCCTTATTTTACAGATGAGAGAACTGAGGTTCAGAGGGGTTAAGTGATTTTGCCAGGTAAGTAAAAAAAAAAGCCAGATAATCTGACCCCAAATTTTATGTTATTTCTCTACTATGCCAGTTCTACTTCGAGGGCTGACTCATTCATACGGATAAGTCCCACTCTGGAACTAAGCCATGGATATAAACTACCATGCATTTTTAGCTTCCTAAAGTCAAATCTCCCACTTTAAAGTCCTGGGATGCCTTTTTAAACAGCATTTAGTAAATAAAAATGAACAAGGAAATGATGCAATGTACTTTAAAAAGTAGGTACTGAAACCCATGATGTTTCTAAATGGAAAGGTGGTAAATAGGGATCCCACAACCATAGCTATAACTCATGTTTCCTGTTGGCTGAAACTAGAGAGAAAAATATTCTAACAAAACTGAAGAGGCCCAAAGGGAGTCATATTGTCCCATAGGCATTGATGTGTGATGCACTTGGAAAAACCATTTCTCTGACACCCTCAAATGCGTCTTCAGACCAAACAAAATGCAATGAATCATGGCGGAGGGACCTTGTGAACTTCATTTCCCAAAGAAATGAGGCATTTGGGCATGCAGTCTATGAATGCATGTGCCCAAAGTTACAGGCAACTTTTCAAAAACATTAGTACCTCTAGCCAGCCATCCACAGTCCACCAGTGACAACAGGGATTTCATGTGAACACTCTGAGCAGTTATTTCTTGTAACTAATTGCTTTACAGATTGGCATTTCATCTACAATCTGCCAGCCTGGCCATGAATTAATGTCTCAATCCAAGTAGCCCAGCTTCAGTGGGATTTATGCCCTGATGTTATCTATGTACAATAAGGCATGAGTCATTTTTTGCCCAGAGCTGAAATTCGAGAGGTGCCTTTGAGTTATGGAGCACGAGAGTGGGCTTGGTATTTTCTAATTGTTTAATGTGAATAAGCAGAGGGGAGGAAAATCTGAAAGCAAATCTCAAACACATAGTGATGTCTTCTCCTTTGGCATGAGGTGACATATGGGTGGTATTTACTGATCTTGAAATTTCAGAATAGCTTTTATTTCTTCTTTAAGGAAACTCTCAGACTCCCTAATAAATAAAGTATTTGACAGTGTTCTGGTGACCAGACATCAGGTAGGTTTTCAGAGCCTAACTCTTCCAGTTGCATTATTTACTCTGACTTTATTGGCTGGATAATTGCCACATCCCCATTTTACCTAGAACTGTCTAGATGGTGTCAGCTGTTTCTTATTCTATCCTAATAATCCCTTATTGAGTTTTCTTTCTCCCAGTGCTTGTTAACATGACGTAGAAGTTGTATTCAGCCTACCCATAGCGTCTAAATAATTTAGGTCAATTGTGTTACAGCTTACTCCCCTTTTTCTGATCCAGAATATGGGTTATTCCTGTTATTTTGCTTGTCTTTCTCTTTTCTCCTTTTTTGGGTTGTTTACCTACTGAAATTCAAACCTGCCTACTCTTGGTTATTTTGCAAGGTAGAGGAAATCAGACTCACTGCTCAGGTGTGACCTGGGTATTCTCCATTATTTCAAAAACATTACTACACCACACCCTTTAGGTGCAAAGTATGTGCCAGGTACTGTGAGATTAAAATATGAATAATATATTGCCCCAGATTTCAGGAAGTTTGTGTTCTCAGGGGAGGATGAAACATAGGTTGAAATAACAGAACCAGGAAGTCTGTGGTGAATACCATAAATGTGGTACATATAAAATGATATACTTGCACTAGACGAAGAAGAGATTGTAAAGATTTGTAACAACAAATAAGTTGTTGTTACTTGAACTGGACCTTATAAAAAATAAAAGGATACCAGCAGATGGAATTTATTTATTTATACCATTCTGTGTTCTAGAAAGAAGTTTAGACATGCATACAGTACAACCAGGTTAAGTAATGTTTAAACTAAGTGGGTAAGGAAATTGGGACAGAGGGGTGATTTGGAGCTGGGAATGAAGCTGGAACAAAAAATAAGTACTTTATGGCACAGGTGCTCACTAAGATTGGGGAGATTACCAGTTTAGTTATGGAGACCCTTCCTGTCTGTCTCCAACAGAAGATAAAAGATAGTAAGCTCTCTCTGACTGAAGTCTGGGTGAAAGGAGGCAACAGCTCTGGGGAAGCTGCAGAAGGCCATTCACCTGTGTGCTTGTCCTAACTCCCTAGGTCCTGGGATGGATCCGCAATGGAGAGTCAATGCTCAATGCCAGCCTGGTCAATGCCAGCTCTTTGTCGGAAGCAGAGCAGCTGCAGCGGGAGCATGAGCAGTTCCAACTGGCCATCGAGGTAACACCCAAATCTGGCTGCACTATCCTCCCTTCCTCTTTCTGCTCTGTACCTCAGGCAGGGTGAGTCTGAGGTATGGGTGTCCCTTTAGGCAGTGAAGGCTGTACCTCTTCTAGTGGGATGGTCCAGGGAGCCTCATCTTACCCAGGAATTGATAGGGAAGCAAATGCAGGGGTTCATCCCCCAGAGAGGCCTGGTATTAGAACACAAGTATTCACACTTCATATGAGAATCTTTGTTACATATCTGTACCTTCAATCTTTAAGACCACTGGTACATTGGTTTTTTTTTTTTTTTTTTTCATACATTCTAGATTTGTACCATGTGAGGAAATGTAAAACTAAAAGGTTAGAAGTCATTTCCAGTCAAGATCACTCAGGATTGAGGATAAACAAGTGCAAAGGTCATTATAAATTAGGATCCTATTTTTAAACCTTAGATTTACATGTAACCCTTAGATACTATTGTCAGAGTCTGCCTTTTAACAAGGATAATGACTGTTGGAGCAGATTGCACCAGATATAGTCTACCCTGCTCAAAGTAGTTGTTCAATAATGCTGGTAGAACAATATTTAAAAATAAATTGCAACCGGAAGTTCATCAACAGGGACTTTTTGGAAGGCTATTAAAAATAAAACTTCATGTATGATAATCTAACATAAATTTTGTTTTAAGTACCCTTAACTATCCTTTTTTACTGGGACATTGTCCTTTCCAGAGAGACTTGAACTGATTGCTTTATAGTGGTGTAGGAAAAAGAGTAGGAAATGAACCATGGGAACTATATTAAAAATAAAATAAGTTCATTACCAGTGGGAAAAGAGACAGAATGAGAACTTCAAAGACATTCTTTACTTATGGTTCAGTAAAGAATTTAACCCACTTTTGAGTGTGTAAGAAATGCAAAGGTGTTATCTTTTACTTAAAAAAAAAGATTGTTATTGAGTCATTTCTACAACAATGATGGCAAAACAATACAATTTTAATTGCTTGTCTTTTTATGCAGTAATCCAACTGATTGCTAACCATTTTTAAACTAGTATTGATTGATTACAGCCATTTAATTTCCTAGAAACTATCTTGGATATATAAACATAGTGTTAAGATGCATGATATTTTCTTAGGAACCATTACTAGTACTAGAAGAACTGTCTGGGATTTGAGATTCAAAAACCAACTTTATATTGTGCACACAGTATCAGCAAATCATTTTCTAAGGAGGAATTAACCAGAGGAAATAAGTTTTATTATCATCAGCTGTCTCTATTGTAGCTAACTGACACACCCAAATATCACAGTGTTAGGATGTATTCACTATAAAGAAAAAGTATGATTAGGGTTAGAATCAAGAATCAGGACCAGGCATGGTGGTTCATGTGTGTAATCCCAGCACTTTGGGAGGCCAAGATTGGCAGATCACTTGAAGTCAGGAGTTCAAGACCAACCAGGCCAACATGGTGAAACCCTGTCTCTACTAAAAATACAGAAACATTAGCCTGATGTGGTGGTGGGTGCTTGTAATCCCAGCTACTCGCTAAGCTGAGGCAGGAGAATTGCTTGAACCCAGTCAATGGGGGTTGCAGTGAGCTGAGTGGTTGCAGTCCATTGCACTCCAGCCTGGGTGACAGAGTGAGACCCTGTCTCAGAAACAAAAAAAGAATCGGGCACACAGTAGTCAAGTTCCCATAGTCATAAGCAGCAACGAAGAAAATGAAGGCTGGGCAATCAGACTAGAGGTATAGCACAGTTATGAGGCATGCTGGTTAGAATGAAGACAGCTCTTGGCCATACCTCCTCTTTACTTATCTTGAATGAAAAGGTTTGTCTTAATCCAATGGTGGACAAGTAAGACTGAGTTTCATAACACACGTGAGCATCTCAATGAGCTTGTGAGGAAGCATGGGTAAATGTATTCACAGTGCTTGAAATGACTACATCCCACATAAAATTCATATGCAATATGTATTCATTTGTGTCAGATGCTGTTGCATCTTTACAGAATAGAGGCTCGCTAAGCATAAACACCTCTTAATCAGTTCTGGGTTTCTATATGGATACCACTTGATCAAATATTATTGGAATTGATGTTGACATATAGGCCACTTGGTCTGGAGAGGGCATGGCAGAGCAGTTAGGATTTCTGGAAGATATTGGGAATGAAAGGTAGGCAGAGTCTGTGTTGGCTAGAACAATGAAGGGAACAGAACTAGAATTGCAACATATGCTTGTTCTCCAGGTGGCCTGCACTTCTCCTTAAGTGTGTCAGTTCAGACTAGGTTCTCCATCAGAAGGAAAATACGCCAGAGAAGATATAAGCTATTTCAAAGGGAGTGATAACAGTTGGGTTTGGTTTAAGTTATTTTGACAGTGTTACTGGAGGCCTTTACAGTGATTCTTGGTGGGGAGCATAATTTGACTTCTTGAACCCTCAGAAAGAACCCGGGGTTCCACCAGAAAAATTAAAAAGTTATAAAAGGGATGATCATATAATTTATTCTTTAAATGACATTCTTTAAAAGTGAAGGAGAGAATTATTAATAACTAAGCCAGAAAAATAGGCATATACTAGAACTGTGATGGGCAAACCACAATGTTTGCTAACTTGTAATATCTTGAGTGACCTCATCAAGTTGAAGGTTTTGGTCTTTCTAAGGAAGTTCAGGATTTTTACCTGGAGTAGCCTTGGTTTCAAGAAGTCTTCCCCAGAGCCATTCAGAATGGAAAGCAGGACAGAGCATTTGAAAGAAACAGCTTTGTCAGACAAACCCAGAAATATTATTTGTTAGTATCCAAGATGTAGCTGATGAATCTTCATGAACTGTGAACTTCAAAATCTATTGTTCTTTGAAATCCTCTTATGCATTTTAAGAATAAGCATTATGTCAGCAGAAGTAGTTAAAACTGGATAATAAATTCAGTTGATTCAGTTCCATTTTCTTTTTCTCCTGAGTACTCCTACTAAATATTAATGTCCTTGATAATCTGTGTCTTAAGAATGTAGCACTCAATAGGATTAGATAATGGGGAGTAGAAATAAGTGCAAAATAATGAGTTAAGCTTAGCAAAGCAAAGATTATGTCGTATAGATAAGAGTTTATCATTTAGGAAATTAAAGGGAGAAGATGGTCCCAGGACTGTTACATGATAATGAGTTTCAAAGTAAGAAAGAACATTTGTATATATTTCCATATATTGTAGGAATCAAGGTTTGTTTCTCCACTGTCAGAGAAAAATACTGTTTTATGGTAACAATTTATATGCTCATTTTAGATATTGAGAAGAGGGCAGATAATTATAATTGTTAATGTTCATTTGGTGAACCCTTCCTTTAAATGAGATACTATAGATACTGTTCTAATTGCTAGAGATAAAATGATGTGATGTAGTGGAAAGAGCACAGATTTGGAGATAGGTCAAATATGAGTCTTATTTCTGGTGTCATTACATCTTTGGGTTATATGTGTTTGGGCAAGTCACTTAGCTAGCTGATCCTCAGTTTCTTAATCTGTGAAATGGGAATAATAATATCCACCTTGTAGTCATGTTGAGAGAACTAGAAAATATATGCAGAGAGGCACAGTGCTTATGATTTTTCAAACCATCCTTGCCTTGAGTGTCACAGTCTAAGTAAGGAGAATCAGCCAAGTGTTAGATGAGTGACATAGAAGTTCAGAAGAGGGTGGTTTACTGTGAGTCTCAGGCTTTCTGAAAAGGCCTCATCCAAGGAGGGTAGACTTGAGCTGAGTCTCAAAGGAAAGCTGGAACATATATGGGGAGAGACTTGGGACATTTATTAAAGGCAGGAAGAATGAAGGTAGCAAAAGCAAGAAAGTACATGGTGTGTTTTCAAAGGGTTTTTGTAAGGAACTAATTGGTGATCATGTTATAGAAGTAGTTTGGGACTGTGTTGTAATGAGGGCCTTTTAATGACGGCCTCCAAAGTTTGGACTAGCAATGGGAAGACCACTGAAGACTTGAATTGAGAGAAGGTAGTGACATTTATGGCATAAAATGAGAGTTTTAGAACCGGAAAATATGTTAGAAGTTACATAATGCTAGTACTTTCCATTACAGAGAATTAAAGGGATCTGTTAAAAATGTCAAGAATGAATTTTTGGATTAGAACTGGAAGGCAAGAAGTCTCATTAGATCATCACCACAACAGTCTGTGTATAAAGTGGTGAGGGCTGGGCTGGGATTGGGGAGAGGGGAACGGCAAGCAAGAATGATGTCAAGATTGTAATCCTAGGAGGAGAGAGAAGGAGAGTGCCAACAGAAGTGGCAGATTACCATGGGAAAACTGTTTTAAAGAGAGGAGGAGTTTAGTTTCAGCTGTGGAACTTGAGAAGCTGTCTGGGGGAGGTAGAGGCTCTAATACAACAGTGAAGCCCTTTCCATTCGCTGACAAAGGCCCCTCCTCTCTCCAGGAAGGTCACTTTTACAGAATGCATCTTTCTGCCAGGCTGACGTGGGACAGACAGCTAAATCAACTGAATCAGTGCTGCTCACTAGGGTGAGATCTGTGCAGGCAACTCACCCTTGCATCTGAGAGCAACTAAAGAAGAGAGTCAGATGTCAGACAAGAGACATAGACTGGGGAATCATCTGCAAAGAGAAGATAATAGAAACCAAGGGAATAGATGAAAGCTCCGCAGCAGTGGGTGGGAGGGGTGGGAGAACTGACCTTGATACCTCTACATTTAGGAGACAGGAAAAGAAAATGATGCCCATAAGTAAGACAAAGAAAGAAAACCAGGGATTGTAGTGGATCGTTTCTACCCACTAGTGTACTCTCTCTAGCCGCATTCTGCAATTAGGAACCCAAATGCTGATGTGGTCATCAGGATTGAGGGCTGACTTAGTGGAAAGGCAGGCAGTGAAGGATTCTAGGTCATAAGAGGAGGTCATGCTAACATTGCTAACTCTGAATACAGATTCAGGAGAGAGTGAAGAGAAGCCAGAGGTGGGGGATAGACTGGAAAAGATAAATGAGAATATGTAGACTGCAATCGGGAATGAAGGTGGGGGACCATCATGGTAGGAATCAGGGAGAGGTATAGGTGAAAATGAGTGAGGCTGTCCTTAGACACAGGGAGTGCAGAGTGGATTAGCTCTTGGGAACTATCCAGAATTGCTGCCCAAGAAGAAGGGTAGAAAATAATTCGGAGGCTGGGCGCGGTGGCTCAAGCCTGTAATCCCAGCACTTTGGGAGGCCGAGGCGGGTGGATCACGAGGTCGAGAGATCGAGACCATCCTGGTCAACATGGTGAAACCCCGTCTCTACCAAAAATACAAAAAATTAGCTGGGCATGGTGGCACGTGCCTGTAATCCCAGCTACTCAGCAGGCTGAGGCAGGAGAATTGCCTGAACCCAGGAGGCGGAGGTTGCGGTGAGCCGAGATCGCGCCATTGCACTCCAGCCTGGGTAACAAGAGCGAAACTCTGTCTCAAAAAAAAAAAAGAAAAAGAAAAAAGAAAATAATTTGGAGTAAGTTACTGAGTTCTAGCTGTTCTTTTTCACTGTCAGCTGAACTATCATTTTCTCAAAGTGCAAAGGCCAAATTAGTACTATACCATTAGTCTGGAACAATCCCAACAGTTGAGGTTGGAATGATAGTAGTTCTTTCAAGTCATTAGGACTCTTACATTCTCATATGAATCATCCACGTCAGTATTTTGTCTTAGTAAATCTGAATTCCGTTTGGTTCTCTTCCTGCCACCCTAGTTCTCCCCACCTCCTACAGTTAATATAAACTCAGAGAACACATAGCATATGTAGCCTAAATCAGAAAGCATTAAAAAAAAAAATAGAACTTCTGGCAAGCTGTGGTGGCTCTTGCCTGTAATCCAAGCACTTTGGGAGGCTCAGGCCAGAGGATCATTTGAGGCCAGGAGTTCGAGACCAACCTGGGAAACACAGCAGGACCCCATTTCTACAAAAAGTAACAAATTAGTCAGGTGTAGAGACACACACCTGTAGTCCTGGCTACCCAGCTATTTGGAGGCCGAGGCAAGAGGATCTCTTGAGCTTAGTTCAAGGCTGCAGCTAGCCACGATTGCACCATTTCACTGCACTCCAGCCTGGGTGACAGATCAAGACCCTGTCTCAAAAAAAAAAAAAAAAAAAAAAAAGATAAGAAAAGAAAATAGACCTTCCACATATGCATACATACACACACACATATATGTGTGTGTGTGCGTGCGTGTGTGTATAACTCCTTAAGGGTTATGTAAATAACACTGAGGTGAATTTTCTCCTGCACTTTTTTGCCCTCCTGGTAAATAATTAAGGGATAATGTAAGGAGATTACTCTCTAGCTTTATTAACCTGCCAAATTTATTCCTTCAGCTGGAATCCGTTTCAACTGATTATTAATCTTTTAAATGATTGCATTGTTAGCTGAGATTTGTGTTACACGGTTTCTTTTCATGTGCTGTCTATACTTAATCTATAAAATGGGACTGTGGTAGTAACCTCCTGTGAAAACTCAATGTACAATTTTATTCAATTTGTAAAGGAAATTTAATTTATGAACCAATTAGGGAGCAGATTGATACATAACTTCTGTTTCTCTACTATAGAAACTGAAATGTCCTTAAAATCTAGAGTGCTGCAAGGAAAAAGAAATGGGGACAGGAGTTAGGGTCCTGAGAAATTAGCTAATAAAAATGTATGATTTTTTAATATGTTTAAAAATAATGATGTATTAATGGTCATGACAACATGGATCAATTATTTAAAGCTCTTTAACTTCTCTGCATCTTTCCACTCACGCCTCACTCCACCCCCTCCCATACCACGCCTGGGTTGTTCCCACGGACCTTTCTCTCCTCCCCTTGTGCCCAGTCCCTCTTTCATGCCACTTCCTTGCAGAAGACGCACCAGAGCGCCCTGCAGGTACAGCAGAAAGCCGAGGTGCTGCTCCAGGCTGGCCACTACGATGCCGATGCCATCCGGGAATGTGCTGAAAAGGTGGCCCTCCACTGGCAGCAGCTCATGCTGAAGATGGAAGACCGACTAAAACTGGTCAATGCCTCTGTGGCCTTTTACAAAACTTCTGAACAGGTGAGGGAAAGGGCTGTGGGGCTTGTGGGGCTGAGGTTGACAGAGGGCTACTTTCTGCCTTGGAGCGTAAATGTGCAGTCCTTAGGTCAGCGAGAAGCCAGTCCTCTAGGTACTAACATATGAAGAATGGTTTCTGGAAACACCACAGTTGGCTTCTTTATCATCCTTTCCATTTAAGCACTGGACCTTGTGATTTATTTTTCACAAATTTCTCCCAGAACTCAGTGATAGAAAACAGTAAGCATCTTTTTTTTTTTTTTTGCTTAGGTAGCTAGGGTTCAGTTGATCTTGGCGCTTAGGTATCTAGGGTTCAGTTGATCTTGGCTGAGCTTGGTAGAACTAGGCTTTGAGCTACAGATTGGGTCTAGATCTGTTACCATGTCTCTTGTCCTTCTTGACCTGAAGCCGTCTCAGGCACATTTATAGTTAAAGGCAGGAATGAAAGAATCCAAAATCTACCATACAAGTGCATTTCAAGTCTTTGCTTGTGTCATATTCTCTGTTCTCTCATTGGCCAAACCAAGTCACATGGCCAAGCCAACATCAGGGAGGCAGCAGTACCTCTTATGAAGCTTAGAAGAGTAGAATGAATAGTTGCTGAACAATAATTAAATCTATTACAGTTAGACATTATGCACTGCTTGAAAAACACATGGTTCTTTCATTCCTGGGGCCCCCAATCTATTGGAAACACAGCTCTCTGTCATTGTGGAACTAGGAACATACCTGATAAGACGGTGCTGTGTGGGAGAAAAGGCAGGAGCGGGACAGCAGGGCCATAAAGATGCAGCCTGTTTTCCTTTGGTCTGTACAGCAATATGCACAGGGCTACGAGGATTTTTTTAATGACTCGGACGCAGTTAGGGAGTTCTTTTTATGAAACAGAGGTTTTAAACAGGAGTAATTTTATTCAGTGTACAGTAGTTTCCTCCTCTGAATTCTCTGAATAAATCAGAATCATTCTCCTTGGGTGACTGACAGGGACCATCAGAAAGTCTGCATTGGAGCAAATATAACATGTGTATCAGAGGTCCCAGTAGCCAGTGTTAGAGTTTCCATCGCTTCTCCCAGTCCTTTCTGTTGTTTAAGAGGGATGACTCCTTTGATGGCCACAGAAGAGGGGAACTGCAGACTAAGATGATAAAGAGCTTCCTGAGTTGATCTATAGATTGAACCCAGTCTCAATCAAATCCCAGCAAGTTTTTTTTTTTTTGTAGAAATTGATACATTGATTCTAAGATTTATATGGAAATAAAATGCAAATGCAAATAATACAAATGCAAAGAAATTAGAACAGCCAAAACAATTTTGAAAAAGGAAGAACAAAGTTGGACAAGTCACACTGACTGATTTAAGGACTTATTCTAAAGCATCGGGGATCAAGACAATGGTATTTGGTGTAAGAATAAACACAATGAGACAGAATAGTGGTTATAGAAATAGATCCACATATATACAGTCCATTGATTTTTGACAAAACGAATGAAGGAAAATATTTTCAACAAAGGATGCTGGGCAACTGAATATCCATATGGAAACAAATGAGGCTTAATTTCTGTCTATTATTATGTACACATTTTAGTTTGAGATGGATCAAGATGGTAAAGGGCACTGGAATGAGTTAGGAAATTTTACCCTGAAGTGACCTTGCTGACAGTTACTTTACCCCTCTGGATTTCTTTTTCCTCTCGTGTTAAATTAAAGTATTTATACCTAATAATCTTTTCATTTCTTCTAACTCCCAAATTGTTTGGTCCTAAGTTCAGTCCTATCATGGGACAGATCTCAAGTACTCTTTTTATTAAAATTTTGCATGTCTATAAGCTGTTTTATCTCAAAACATGAGCCTGCCTGCACATTTCAGGCCTTGCAGAAAGAAAGGTGTGGTGCTGGAGTTGGGACTAGAGAAGTCACCTCAAGTTCAGTGACAGATCTTCTCATGGCATGAGAAGCATGTCTGACTATGAGGGTGTTCTTCCTGGGACAGCTTTCAGCACATCTTTTAGTTCAGTTCATAGCTCAATGAATGCCCATCCAAAGGCATCTTTCATCTGGCCAGGCACGGTGGCTCACTCCTATCTATAATCTCAGTACTTTGAGAGGCCAAGGCGGGTAGATCACTTGAGGTCAGGAGTTCGAGACCAGCTTGACCAACATGGTGAAACTCCATCTCTATTGAGAATACAAAAATTAGCTGGATGTGGCATTAGGTGCCTGTAATCCCAGCTACTGAGTAGGCTGAGGCAGGAGAATCACTTGAATCTGGGAGGCAGAGGTTTCCTTGAGCCGAGATCTTGCCACTGCACTCTATCTAGCCTGGGCAACAAAGCTAGACTCCATCTCAAAAAAAAAAAGAAAAAAGCAAGATATCAAAGACATCTTCCATCAAAAGATTTTCTCAGAGAAGGCCAAGGATAGTCATAGCTGTTCTTCCCTGCTGCCATATCCAAACAAGTAATCAAAGTCTATTGAAGGAAATCCAATATCCATGTCCATGGGGTATTGGTTCCAGGACCTCTCACAGATACCAAACTCTTCAGATGTTCAAGTTCCTGCTATAAAATGGCATAGTACTTACGTATAACCTGTATACATACTCCCATGTACTTTAAATCATCTGTAGATTACTTATAATACTTAAGTATTATAAGATACTTATATTAATTATACTTACAATGCTTAAGTATTATAAGTAATGCTATATAAATGGTTGTAATACTGTATTGTTTTTATTTGTGTTATTATTATTTTTTATTTTTATTTTTTGAGACAGTCTCTCACTCTGTTGCCCAGGCTGGAATACAATGGTGTGATCCTGGCTCACTGCAACCTCCGCCTCCCAGGTTCAAGTGATTCTCTTGCCTCAGCCTCCAGGGTAGCTGGGACTACGGGTGCCTGCCACCACACCCAGCTAATTTTTGCATTTTTAGTAGAGACAGAGTTTCACCATATTGGCCAGGATGATCTCAATCTCTTGACCTCATGATCTCCCTGCCTCGGCCTTCCAAAGTACTGAAATTACAGGTGTGAGCCACCACACCCAGCCATTTGTATTATTTTTTATTAATATACTTTTTTTTTTTTTTTGAGACGGAGCTTTCGCTCTTGTTACCCAGGCTGGAGTGCAATGGCGCGATCTCGGCTCACCGCAACCTCCGCCTCCTGGGTTCAGGCAATTCTCCTGCCTCAGCCTCCTGAGTAGCTGGAATTACAGGCACGTGCCACCATGCCCAGCTAATTTTTTTGTATTTTTGGTAGAGACGGGGTTTCACCATGTTGACCAGGATGGTCTCGATCTCTCGACCTCGTGATCCACCCGCCTCGGCCTTCCAAAGTGCGGGGATTACAGGCCTGAGCCACCGCGCCCGGCTATTAACATGCTTTTTAACTGACTATTTTCAATCCATAGTTGGTTGAATCATGGATGTAGAACCCACAGATGAGGAGGGATGGCTATGTAGGAATATGAGTTTCAATTTTCTGCATCCTACCCTAGGTCCTAATACTAGACTGCCTTGAGTTTTACACCATGGGACCCAGTCTGAATTTCCCTCCAAACCCCCTTCAGAATGCTTTTGCTCTCTTCTGAGTTCCTTTGTAAGGTCACTTAGCATGGCCTCTCAGCATCTTTAGAACTAAAAAGCTTCTTAATTGTCTTTTAGGTTAACCCAAATTTGTTATTTCTCTGCAGGAAATGTGTATTTTGTAATAAGGTCCTGGATATGTTATATCTTATGGTTGGATTTTTTGAGACATTTTTCCCCATTGAAGGAAAGAGATGACATTCATTTATGACCCATAAACCATACAACATAGGCAACTTCCTCTTTTGTCTCTGATTGAGGCTACTTACTATGGGACAAGTACAGATGGTTGGACAAGTCAAGTATCTTTTTCCAAACCTCATTTCTTGTTCTACCTAATTTATAGTTATTGTGAGTTTATAACAATACAATACATAAAAACACTGAAACTCCAAAGATACTAGACTGTCTTACTTTCTTACTCTACCTGCTATTCCTAGGTAATGTCATCAACCTTCATAAAAAGATGATTCTGGGCTGGGCGTGGTGGCTCATGCCTGTAATCCCAGTACTTTGGGAGGCCAAGGTGGGCGGATCACGAGATCGAGAGATAGAGACCATCTGGCCAACATGATGAAACCCCATCTCTACTAATAATACAAAAATTAGCTGGGCGTGGTGGCACACGCCTGTAGTCCCAGCTACTTGGGAGGCTGAGACAGGAGAATTGCTTGAACCCGGAAGGCGTAGGTTGCAGTGAGCTGAGATTGCACCACTGCACTTCAGCCTGGTGACAGAGTGAGACTCTGTCTCAAAAAAAAAAAAAAAAAAAAAAAAAGATTCTGAAATCCGTATCTCCAGTCATGATGTCTCCCCGGTTTCAGACACAGGACCGTCATTGCCTCCTGGGCTTCTCTTAGATGTCTGAGAGGCACTAAACTTCAAATGAAAAATGTCACATGTGTAGGGTTCTATAGGATGAAGGTCCTCAGAGAATACTTCCTAATTAATTTACTGAGTCTTTTCTTCTGTGATTCACTAGGTGTGTAGTGTCCTGGAGAGCTTAGAGCAAGAATACCGGAGAGATGAGGACTGGTGTGGTGGACGAGATAAGCTGGGGCCAGCGGCAGAGATTGACCATGTCATTCCACTCATCAGCAAACATTTGGAACAAAAGGAGGCTTTTCTTAAGGTCAGAGCACATTGTCATGCAAGAGCTCAGACTCCTGGCCTTGGCCTTCTTTCATCCTTTCTCTCTCTCTCTCACTCACACACTCAAACACACACACACACGAACATACAGAGCTTCAAACATGCTTCCTATCCCCTCCTTTTTTCTGACCTCTTCCCTAAAGGGGGAGGGGAGTATAGTGAAGATGTTGACTGGTTAATGTGAAAGGGTGAGAGGTTATTCTTCCAACATTTATTTCTCTCTTAGCACTTTTTGTATAGTCAGGCAATAATTGGGATATCTGCTGCAATCTAGATATCCCAGTATCTCATGGATATTGTTAACTGAGAAAAAGGCATGTTTCATTCAGTTGTGTTTTGCTAATTAAATTATTTTTATAGTAATATTGAAAAGATACAAGCTTAAATATAAAACACGATTAAAATATTTTATAAATGGAAGATACAAAATTTAGGGTAAGAAAGAAATGAATTTGGATGCCCTATTTATTTATCAATCTAGCAATTACCAATACACGTAACACTATTCATTCTTCTGTATTAAGAGAAAAAATGCCTTATTCCAGGTATTCTCCTAGAGCCCTGCTTTCTGAGGGAGGAAGCACAGGCCTGCTCTGCACAGACTGTCAGCTGGTGTGGGACGTCCTTGTGAGCCTCTTTCCCCAGCCTTTGGTCTTCTCCTCTGATCGCCTCCTCTCTTCTGTGTTCAAGCTCATCTAAAGGCTCCATTTGCTCTCAGATTTCTTGCTTTCATGTTCTGCTTCCTTTCAGGTTTCTGGGAATAGAAGAGATCATTTTTATACCCTGACATGTTGCCATTGATTATATTCCATTCTGTAATTAACTGCCTTTCTTTTATTAGGGATTTTCTCTACTTCACCACCACTTTGAGCATAATTTTTATTATTTTTTTAAGCTGGCCTCTCCCTGCCCTCCTACCAGCCATCTGGTATCTGCACCTGTACTGGTCAGAACCTTTAGTAATCAGCTCTTATTAATAAGACTAAAGAGAAATTCTTCTGTGCAGGGCTTATGATGATTTTTTAAAGTTTTTTTTTCTATTAAAAAAACAAAGTTTAAAATGAAACAATTTAAGTCGAGCATATAAAAATCTCAAATAGAAGTAGAAAATATTTCTTCATAAAATTAAAAGAAAATGTTTCTTTTGAAGAAAGAATAAGAAAATCCTCTGGTCTGATGTTTTCCATATGTCCCCAAAACCATAGTGAGAAGCTCCCTATCACTGTGGGAATTATATGCCCAACCAACAGATAGAATATGAGCTTTTTGTATTCATTAGTTGATCTATTTGAAATTCCTTAGGCTAAGACCACCATTAAGCTGTTGTATTCGGACCCCCAGTGTTCATGGACTCACTAGCAGGCATTTGTGTACCAGATATCCCCAGATGCCTTTGTTGCTGGTTTTTTTATATTACCAGAAAATTATTTATAATTTTAATTTTATGTTTCTATTAATTATATAATAATTTTTAACTATATAGTTTGTAGGATCAGAGGGAAAATATAAGATTCTAAAATTTAACACTTCAGGGTATGTAGAAGAAAAATATAAAATAAAATTTCAAAAAAAATGAAATACAATTTCAAAAAAATGAAATAAAATTTCAGTTTTATCTAGAGATAATTTAGTTCTGAAAACTATAGATTAAAAATTAGTATGCTAGTATTTATTACTTACAACCAGAAAACAAACGCTGCTTTGTAGAGAAATCCAGAAAATACTAGGCTTGAGAGGAACAAGAAATACTGTCAGTCATCCCAGATGCTGCATCTGAGTTGCTTTCTGACTTCTGCCCTTTCTGGGCTTCAGTCTTGTCCATCAGTACAACAAGGAGAATGTGATGAGCCCTTCCTCTGCCCCCCACAGCTAATATAAATCATAAATTGAGTAGCTGATGTAACAAACAGCTGTTAGTTCTTTATGCAGACTGGCATTTCTCAACAGTAGGATGCTTATTAGTGATATTTAGAGGGGGACTTGATGGGCAAATAAGTTTGAAAAATGTTGGTACTTTTCCATTTAGTTTTAAAATGTAGGGTTAATAGATATGTTTACCAAATTTACTTGCTCAAGTCTAAGTCACACTGATTTTAAAGCAGGTTTATGTTTCCTGACTTACACCAGTGGTCGTGTAAGAGGCATTCTGGTGTCTGAGGAAAAGTAGGGTAAGAGTAAGTGTTAGTAATGCTTGGTCAACATAGAGACAAGCAAGGGATGGCTGATTTCTGATTTTCATCTGAGATGGAACAGGCAGAAGCACAATGAATAATTCTTCACTTGACAGAAGGAAAGCTTAGAAGGGTTAGCTCCATAAATTGGAATTGTAGTCTCTGTTAAGCAGTGGTGACTTTCAGAGCTCTGCTCCTTCCAGATTCCTTCAGGGTTCTTGAGCCTCCCAAAAAGCACACAGAGGGGCTGCGTGCCGTGATTCACACCCGTAATCCTAGCACTTTGGGAGGCCAAGGTGGGCAGATGGCTTGAGCCCAGTAGTTCAATAACAGCCTGGGCAACATAGTGAGACCCCAACTTCACAAAAAAATGCAGAAAGTTAGCCAGGTGCAATGGTGGGTGCCTGTAGTCCCAGTTACTCAGGAGGCTGAGATAGGAGGACTACTTAACCCTGGGAGGTCGAGGCTGCAATGAGCTATGATCATGCCACTGCACTGCAGCCTGGGCAAAAGAGTGAGACTCTGTCTCAAAAAAAAAAAAAAAACAAAAAACAAAAAAAAAGGAAAAGAAAATGTCAGAAGAGGGTATGCCTTCTCTAGTGTCTTGGATTCCATACATCTGCCACCTGCTGGGACAGGGGCCTCACAGCTTTGTCTTTCTCAGGCCTGTACCTTGGCTCGGCGGAACGCTGAGGTGTTTCTCAAGTACATCCACAGGAACAACGTCAGCATGCCCAGTGTCGCCAGCCACACTCGGGGACCCGAGCAACAAGTGAAAGGTCAGTGAGAGACCTGCCCAGCCACCAGTCACTGCAGCAACAGCCTCTCCCTGAAGTCTTCCATGTACCCAGTTTTCACACAATCTCAAACTTCCTGATGCTTCTCCTTAGAGAAGAAAGTGTGTGATGTGGGATGGTGTGGGCAGTAGTGATTCATGGTTAATTTTTAAACATGCAGCAAGATCTGGAATGCAAAAACAAGGATAAAATTTCCCCAAGCATTTTCCTTTGTCTTAGAGTCTGGGCAGCACTGCCTAGTGGAAGTTTCTGAAATAATGGAAATTGCCTATATCTACGCTGTATAATGCAGCACCTATTGAGCACTTGAAATGTGGCTAGTGAAACTGAGGAACCAGATTTTAACTTTTGTTTAATATTAACTAATTTAAATGTAAATTACTGAATGTAGCTCATGGTTAATAAATTGAACAGCACAAGACTAGGGTGTCTTATAGCCTAGGAACAGAATGTAGACTGAGAATCCTGAGACCAGATGCTAACCCTGGATTTGTCATGGATTGATTAAGTCTTTTAAAACTTTAGTTTCTTATTTAAAATGAGGGAAGCATCTAAACTCTTGCTACTCCAGTTGTAGTTCCCAGACCAGCCCCATTGACATCCCTGGGAGAGTGTAAGAAACATAGAATCTCAGGCCACACCAAAACCTACTAAGTCAAAACTGAATTTTGGCACTTTGGGAGGTTGAGATGGGAGGATTGCTTGAGGTCAGGAGTTCAAGACCAACCTGGGTATCATAGTGAGACCCCATCTCTACCAAAAATTAAAAAATTAGCCTAGTATGGTGGCATGCCTGTAGCCGTAGTTACTCAGGAGGCTGAGATGGAAGGATCGTTTGAGCCCAGGAGTTAGAGGCTGCAGTCAGCTGTGTTTGCACCAGTGTACTCCAGCCTGGGCAGTATGAGACCCTGTCTCAAAAAAAAAAAGAGAGAGAGAGAGAGAGAGAAAAATAAAGAACAACAACAATAAAAAAGAACAAAGTAGCTGCATTTTGGTAAGAACTGCCCAATTTTACCAACTAGGTGATTTGTGTGTTCATAAAATTTAGATAAGTGCTGTTCTACATAATTTTTAATAATCTCTCTGAATTCTAGAAAGTCTCTGATAATAAATATATAACTTTAAACAATTGCTTATTATCTGACCACGTGAAACTTAAATCATTATCTGTGAAATTATTCTGATCATGCAGAAATTAGCCCATGAGTGGGTGAAGAATTTAACAAATGTCATCTTGCCAAGGCAGAGAAATATAACTCTGGAGCGCAAGGCTAGAGAGGGAGCCCAAGCCAACTTGGAGTGAGGAGTGGTATGGGCTTGGAGACACCATGGACAGGGTAGGGTACGTGGTCTGCTTAAGTAGGGCTTCCCTCTTTGCTCAGGTAGCTCAAGAGTTGGAGAGAACAGAGGCCATTGGAAAGAATTAAATCTAGGAATCAAAGTTCCCTACAGAGAGGAAGGAGCAGAGTTCCTCTTCCAAATGTGATTTCTATTTGCGGTCAGGGGACCTGTGGGGAGCTGGTATTATGTCACTTCTCCTTCTAGCACATTTGAAAGCATATGTTCTGGCTTCCAAATCCAGACAGGAGCTTGGGTGAGGCCAGCTGCCTACTGAGAGACCACATATCCCACCTACATCTCTGCATGCTGAAGAATCACAGGCACCCAGAGACAGTGGGAAATGCCTACATCTTCTTGGAGGCAAGACCAGGTTGTTGCCCATGTGAAAGCTTTCAAGAAGAGTGAGGAAAAAGAATCCTGAAACTGGAGGATTTCTGCCTGATCTAGGCTGATTCCTTTAGCCACACCACAGAGGGAGCTTCAGTGAGCAAAACTCTGGTGGGGGAATATAAAGACTAGAGGAAATGGGTTTCCACTCCTTCCTTGCCCAGTTGAAGCTTCCACCTGAGCAGGGACCTGTAATCCCTTATATATCAGTTCCCTTTTCACTTACTACCTAGACTCAAAGCCAGTGCCACATATTTTTGGCTTCTTTATACTGCTGGTTGTTATATGGCTACATAACAACCCAAAAATTCAGTGATATCCAGCTGTAAGCATATATTGTTCAAGTGGCTATGCATTGGCTGGGGAGCAGCATCTCAGCTGGGCTCAGCAGTGCAGTTGTGCTTCAGGCTGTAAGTCTAACTAGCTTGGCTCCTTCACTCCAGGTAAGGTCTTGTTTGCTCCACGTGTATTTATTTTGGGACCTGGGTGGCAGGGGCAGCAGTTACCCAGGAGGAGTTCCTGTAGTGGTGATACAAGGTACAAAGTCAAGTCTACAAGTATGTTTCAAGGCCCTGCTTGTGTTTTATCTGTTAACAGCTCATTTGCCAAAGCAAGTTATGTGGCCATGCCAGAGATCAATTGGGGAGTGAGAAACTGTACTTGCCTCTTTGGGAAGGAATGAAAACGTGGCATGATAAAAGCATAGATAGAGGGAAAGGTGAATGATTGGACCCATAAAAGACTGGGTACAGTGGCTCACACCTGTAGTTCTAGCACTTTGAGAGACTAAGGCAGGAGGATCACTTGAGCTCAGGAGTTTAAGACCAGCCTGGGCAACACAGTACAACCCCCATCTCTAAAGAAAAATGTATACAAATTGGCTGGGTGTGGTGGCATGTGCCAATAGTCTCAGCTAGTTAGGTGGCTGAGGTGGGAGGATTACTTGAGCTTGGGAGGTTGAGGATGCAGTGAGCTATGACTGCACCACTGCACTCCATCCTGGGTGACAGAGCTAGACCCTGTATCTAAAAAAAAAAAAAAAAAAAAAGCATTCAGCCTAAAACTTGAAAAACAGATTCTATGCTCAGAAAGGCAAACTTGGCTGAGGAGGTGGGGATGAAGGGGTATGAAAAGTACATAAAATCAGCAAAAGCTCCATCTTCATAAAGCACAGAAATTTTATAGCCCCAGTAATGTGAGAGACCGAGGTGACTAATAACTCGGGCTCTGAAGTCAGATCTGACCTGTCTGAACTCTACCCTTTCCTATCCGAACGACCCTGAGCTAGTTACCTTCCCTGAGCTTTCTCAAAAGCTTTCTCTAAATCTCAGTTTTCTCGTCTGTTTAATGGGGATAATAATGGTACATGCATTGTGGGGTATTATAAAAATGAGTGTCTTCCACATACTATGTGATAAATATTATTCATATGTTTATTATTTATTTGTTACCATCTAATATGGCTAGCAGGAAGCAGAAGGAAGATATAATAAAATAAATTTGATTGCTTCCAGCATAGAACATACTATTTAAAACACTTAAGACATCTACCCATGTACCCAGCTACTCTTGAAACAACAGAAAATGTAGAGAGGGAAATAGCATGGGCTGAATACCTAACCCTGGCCCACTTGCAGTGCTGTATGCCTTGTGTATACTGTCTCGTTTAACATCACTTTTAGCTTTTCTAACGATCAGATCCAAAACAACACGGGCCCAGAGACAACATGAAAATATAATTCCAACACAGCTTCCCTATGCGCACTATTTAGAAGTGTTTAAATTGAGGCTGTGCTGTTAAAAGTGCTGTGTGCACAACCTCTTGGGCAGGTCCAAGAACATGGCTCATGATGTGGGTTGCCAAGCCATTGACACCAGCCCTCATTCCACTGTAAGTCTTCTACCTCTCTTCCAGTAAGTCCGTAAGAATGGCTAAGATTCCCATCAAGGTTCACCCGTGCTCATTAGACTCTGGGGGCCAGTTTAATAAATTGCTATTTTAGGAACTGACCCTTCCTAAGATTTCTTAGAACTAAAGACTGATTTTGCTATCAAGAGAATTGGGGTCATTTGTAAGTCACTGCTGTCATATTCTTCCCACCTTAGTTGAAGGAACCCTCATCACTTGGCTTTCCCCCTAGTCTATTTGACCTTGCTCCTTTTTAATAAATCCTTTCTATATCCAGCTTTTGCTTCCTTTCTTACGCTGGATTAGTTTCATGGGGAGGAGGCTTGAAGTACAGTCATGGTCACCTGGCACCTGGGCCATGGGGCTGAAGAGGTTGTTTGGATTTGCTCAGTGCCTCTTGTGACCATGATGCATCTCCTCTGCCCACAGCCATCCTGAGTGAGCTCCTGCAAAGGGAGAATCGCGTGCTGCATTTCTGGACTTTGAAGAAGCGTCGGTTAGACCAGTGCCAGCAATACGTGGTGTTCGAGCGCAGCGCTAAGCAGGTTGTCCAAAGCTTTCCCTGGCTCTATTTCAGTTCTTTAGAGCATGCAGAGGCCCATCACCAAGGCTTAGTCCAGAAAAGGGCCACAGCAGCAGGCAAATTGGGGATAGGAGGGAGAAAGTGAAGAGGTAAAGAAAGTAGGTTGTCACTTGTGAGCAATTCAGCATTTACCAAGCTCTCTGTTTTGAGTTTGGTATCAGGAGATGTGAAGAAATGCTAGATCACCCACTATGCCCCTAATTCATGGATGATGTTGGGCCTGGCCTAGAAGAGTCCCCAGTCTGCTGGAGGAGACCCTCTCTTTGTGGGATGTTCCAAATCAGGGGAGGGTTCAATCATAAAAAAAAAAAAAAAAAACCTCCCAAATTACATACCAATCAAATTGTGTCAGTGTTTCCTGGGTCCATTAAGTTGTCCCAACAATAACCTTCATTATAGTATGGCATGTTTCCCTACTGACAGCTGCCTTTTGGGGAACTGGCTGGGTTGTTTCCTCCCATAGGCGCTGGACTGGATCCAAGAAACAGGTGAATTTTACCTCTCAACACATACCTCCGCTGGAGAGACCACAGAGGAGACTCAAGAACTGCTGAAAGAGTATGGGGAATTCAGGGTGCCTGCAAAGGTAGGAAACATCCCAAACCTTTTCCCAAATCCACCCAGAACTCTTCATTCTGGCCAATTTCACATTTTGGAAGCAAAGACAGCTTCTGTAAGCAAAAATGCTCAGCCACAGTGGGGATGGGGGAAGCATGTAAACGTCCTAAAGGATTGCCTGCTTAGAAACCTGAATACCCAAAGAATTGCCACTGCTGGGTAGAGCAGCTGTATGCAGAATGTCAACTGCTGTACACTGTGCTTCCAAATACTCATCTTCATGCTCCGGGTTCTGGAATTCGCCATATTCTTTCAGACCAAATCAGGGATGTATTCACATAAAATTGTTGCATGTGCATGTGAACACTGCACATATCCACATATTCTTGCAATTTGAGTGGCTTGGGAAGTCCACCTTATTGGAAGGGCCAGTGACTATGGGTACACAAAACAGGTGAATTTCTTATTTTCTGAGCTATTTCCATCTAGCCTCACACCTGCTCATGAGCTAGTATGTACATCCTTGCATATTTTGCTCTCTAGAGACCTGCTCATGAGCTGGGTCTCTGGGGAGCAAAATATGCAAGGATGTACATACCAATTCATACCAAGATTGTGGGGAAGGCTATAATAGAAGGTAACCTGATTTTCATGTTTTCATAGCCAGGATTTGATCTGAGGATACTTGGATTTGAATGAAAATCTAATCTGTCTCAAGCTCCTCTTTGCAGTGTCCTCATCTCTCACACAGGGCTCCTTGCCACATGGGAGCCTTTTTTGGCATCACTTCTGCACATAGCAGACACTCTTCCCAGGTTGAGAGATGTTCTTGTTGGGGTCAAAGTGGGAAACATATCCTACCAAGAGATCCCTCAGACAGTATAAGGAATGCTCCTTAAGTTTGGTGTGACAAAATTAGGCCCTTATCCTTATTCCTGAACTGATATTTCAGAAGTGATTATCCATTCTATGAATCCTATCCTATGGACTTTCAATACTGGGGAGGCTTTCCTTGCATCCTTGTGAGCTTTGGGCATTTTTCCCTAATGTGAAAAGCTATTAGCACAGTTAAGAGACTCATTTCAATACCAGCAAAAAGCAAGCAGCACAAAGAAAGTGGCAGATGCACAGAACCCTATTCAAATCCAAATTAAAATGGCTTGTGAATGAACAAGTTTAGCTCTATCTGTCCCTCTCCAAATAGGGTCCATAATGAGCCATTAACAGGCTGAATAGTATCAGATCCATTGGTGTTTCTGTCTGCGTAGGATGGATCACAGCAGATACCCAGAATTTCACAGGATCAAAATCTTTCCGTAATCAAAGTGGTAATGTGGAGAATTATTCAGTCAATCGTAGTTATCCTTCCTTTGTAACCTTCTTTATATGTTTCTCCTCTTTCACATTCACGTAGCTACTACCCTAAGCTGTAGTAGCTTCCTAACTGGATTGCATGCCTTTGGCCTTTCCTTCCTTCCCATCAATCCTGCCCTTCATTGCTCTTCATCTTTAAAATGCTACTTTGGTTATATAACCATCCAGATCAAGAACTTTAACGATTTTCCAATTCCTTTGGGATAATGCTCCACAACTGTACAGCTGTGCCACCCTACCTCCCTAGCTTTATCTTCAATTATTATTTTATTCAGAATTTATGCTTCAGCTGAATGGATGTATTCTCTTGCCCTCTGAGAGATACATCATATACTTTTTGGTCTATGTGCCTTTTTTGTACATTCCTCTGCCTGGAATACCCTTTCCTTCCCTCTAGTTTGTGCTTTTTAAGAGGAACCCCCGTTTCCACTCTAGAGCCTCCTCTTCTATGATCCTGCCCACATACCAGGATATGATCCAGCTCATCCTTGCACTACAGCCCTTGTCCGTATAACCCTTCACCTGGCACAGACCATCTCTCCTCCAGTAATATATGCAATGTTATCTCCTGTGTAAGCCAACAGGATACTGAAAGACAAGAACCACACTATTCATCTTGAGTTCCTTAGGTTACCTGACTGCATCTTAAACATTCAAGGGAGGCTACAACCATTCAGGAATATAAAAGGAAAAAAGGAAGTTTGAGTAGATCACTCCCCCTCACTTATATTTAATGTCAGTCTTCTACTTTGGCTTTATATGTTCTCTGTCCCTCCCGACATAGCTATTATGTTCCAAATCTCAGGGTTAACAATCCCAGCTGAGGAGCTTCTGATTAGAGGCAGCAGCCTCCTGCGCCACCCTAGTCCCGCTTTCCAGAGGTAAACCTCTTCTAGTCAGCTGTCTCTGATTATAATCTTTATAACCAATAAAATGAATTTGAAGTGGAAACCAAATTGACCTTTAACCACAAGAGAATACATGTGGTGGCCCTTATGGTTGAATAGGGTAATGGAGTTTATTAAATTTGATATTCTGCTCCAAAGGAACAGATTAAGTAGAAGAAACACTGGATATAAAAAGATACTTTCTATATAAAAGTTCACAAATATAAGAATAAAAATGAAATTTAAAAAGTTTGGATGAGGAAAAAAGGAAAACATATTCATATTGTGGTATGCCTATAGACAGTCCATTAAAAGAATATAAATGGTATTTTCCTATTATGGGTTTAAAAATGTATCAGGGTCAAGGCACACAGGGATGGAAAAGCTTAGTCATGACGACATTTGGAAGAATTCCATTTCTTCTAAAATTAATACTTTTTTAGTTTTTTTTTTTTTCAAATTCCATGGTTTTTACTATATTCACAAGGTTGTGCAAACATTGCCACTGTTTAGTTCCATAACATTTTCATTACCCTAGAAAGAAACCCCTCGCCCATTAGCAGTCATTCTCCATTCCCTACTCCCCTCAATCCCTGGCAACTACTCACCTGCCTTCAGTCTCTATGGACTTGCTTGTTTGGGCATTTCATAGAAATGGAATCATACAATATGAGGTCTTTTGTGACTGGCTTACTTCCCCTAGCCTAATGCTGTCAGGATTCATCCATGCTTATAGCATGTGTCAGTCCTTTTTTCCTATTCATTGCTGAATAGCATGTCATTTCATTGATATACTTCTTTTTGTTTACCAGTCATCAGTTGACAGGCATTTGGGTTGTTTCCAGCTTTTGGCTATTATGAATAATGCTGCTATAAACCTTTATATTCAAATTTTGGCATGAACGTATGTTTTGTTTCCCTTGTGTGCATACCTGGGAGTAGAATGGCTGGGTTATATTGTGTCCCTACTATGTTTAACTTTTTGAGGAACTGCTAAACTGTTTTCCAAAGTAGCTATACCACTTTATACTCTCACCAGCAATTTGTAAGGGTTCCAGTTTCTACACATCCTCACCAACACTTATTATTGTGTCTTTTTATATAGCCATCCTAGAAGGTATGGAATGGTATTCATTGTGGTTGGATTTGCATTTGCCAATAACTAATAATGTTAAAAAAATACTTTTTAAAGCTGGTGACTTCATCTCTGAAAATGAAAGAAGCCATGAGATAAACTGGACTTAATTCATCTTGACAAAAGAAAATTAAGCAGTAATGAAAACGACTGGAGCCTTAGCTGAACTAAATTATGTTTTCCTGGGATTCAGATAGCAAGGAAAGGGAAGATATATCATATACTTTTTGGTCTATGTGCCTTTTGGTCTATGTGTCTGACACTGGGGATGTCCGACAGTACTTTAGACCGAGAGAGGTAGAATCTAAACAGTTCAGGTTTGATTCTAAACAGGCATGATTCTGTTTGTGAGACTCCTTTTTTTTTTTTTTTTCTTTTTCTTTTTTGAGACGGAGGTTCACTCTTATCACCCAGACTGGAGTGCAGTGGTGTGATCTCAGCTCACTGCAACCTCCGCCTCCCAGGTTTAAGTGATTCTCCTGCCTCAGCATCCCAAGTAGCTGGGATTACAGGTGCTCACCACCACACCTGGCTAATTTTTGTATTTTTAGTAGAGACAGGGTTTCACCATGTTGGCCAGGCTGGTCTTGAACTCCTGACCTCAGGTGATTCACCTGCCTCGGTTTCCCAAAGTACTGGGATTACAGGCGTGAGCCACCACGCCTGGCCTTTCTGAGACTCTTAAGAGGAATTTAGCTTGTATGTGATGGAAAATTTCGGTTCTTTTATGTATGATAACAGTCCCCTGCCGAATGAATCAGAAGATGTGTTTCAAGAAACCTGTTCACCTGCACTAGGAGCTCAGTAAATTCATGTCACAAAAAATACATTGATAAGGAATATCAATATTCCTTATGATTATCTCATTATAAGGAGTATCAATAATGAAAGGCAAATATGGAAGATTATAATGAGATTATAAGATTACTATCAAGAAGACAAAATCTAAAAGACTTGTAAAATGTGCTAAAGTCAAAAGGGCTTTAAAAAAGATTATTCAGAGTGAGGCTCACTGATTAGAGGAAGATTATAACCAAAGGAAAAAAGAAAGGAAAGGAGGCAAAGAGAGGGGTAGGAGGGAAAGAGAGAAGAATAAATAGAAAAAATAGAATTACTGAATCCCTCTTTTGAACCTCTGTCTTTTCTAGCAGATCACTAGAATTCAAAATGGAAAGGCAAAACATATGAAAGGACTCAGGTCTAGATTTCCAGGCCCAGATGAATTATGGTACCCAAAGTTTTCCTTCTGGCCACAAGATCATGTCCATACTTCCGAACCTGTCATTCAAGAACTGCTGCAGTCTGATCCCCATTATACTAGTTTATGTAAGCTACTGTCTTCGGAGGAAAGATTTGAGTTTCAAATGGGCTTAGGTTGAAAGGGAAAAGATATTGTATGGCCATGTGTGGAAATAAAGAAGAGAGAAGCGACGTGGCTGAACCTCCCCCAAACCCAGAAAAAGCTCAGTGACTCAGCCCGATGCGAAGAAAAAGAAATGTGGCATAGTGTCACCTCTGGACATGAAAACTGGAATGTCACCTGAGACCAAGAGCAGCTCAGGCAGTCACATCATCTGGTCATCGTCTGAGAGCAGAGGACCAGAATCTATAATGTTTACTATTTCTATGCCTCAGCTTCCTTTTTCTTCCCCTCTGCTTTCTGTGATTTCACTTCTACTCGCAACCAATCACCTAGATCCCTATCTGTGCAGTTTAAATCATCAGGGAAACAACCCCAGTTAACCCAGAGGATTTCTTACTCCCTATTTAGACATAGCTTTTAGGCCAGCACACCTTAGACAGAAGTTACTGGCTGCATCTTGATGGGCTGCCCTTATAAGACAAGTTTTTACCCTTTATCTCAAAAGCTGTGACCAGGCATTTAGCAGGTCATGTGCTGCTACCACAATCATCTATGTATAAGAAGACATTTTAGAATACCCCCAGTGGAGACCATGGCCATGGTTGGTGTCTCAGTGGGCTTATCCAATTCATAGGCCAAATGTATCATCTACTTCTTCCCCCAAAAAACCTTCAACTCTTGCTGATCTAGCTTTACTCACCTCCAAACACAAGATTTGCTTATTCATTTATTCAGACAACATTGGTGGTATGCTTACTATTTTCTAGACACCGGAGATACACTAAAGAATAAGATGTTATACTTAAGGGTTCATGGTCTAATGAAGGAAATGTATAAATAATGTGATACATGCTAAAATAGAAGCATGTATGTGATACTGTGGGAGCACTGGGAAGGGCCTCACCCACTTGTCTTGTGGGTAGGAGAGGAGAGGAAAAAGGGCATTGGACCAAGAGTGGGGATGAGCAGGAACCACTCATCACAGCAGGAAGGGCATGTGACATTCAACATGGCTGCAGTGTAGGGAATGGAGAGCAGTGGAGACAGGGCTGCTACAAAGGTGAGTGGGGCCACATGGGGAAAGTCCTGTCTACACTGCTCATTTTACTGTCTCTTTGCCCCTCTGGGCCCGACACATACCTAGAATACTCTTGGTCACAAACCATTTGCTTTGTTGACTCTGAATCACAATTTTGATGCTTTAGGATATGATTTTCTCTGATAGAACTGCCCTAGTGTGGCTGCTGCCACCAACTGGCTGTAAAACCCTTTCTCATAGGTGGAGTCACTTTACCAAGAACAGAGAATATGTATTTCCAAGGCTTTTCATAAAACTTGGTGTTTAAGTAAATACAAAGCCAAAGAAACCTGTTTTCAGGAAAAATGAAAATAAAAAACACCCTGCATGCAGTAAGATGAAAGTTCTCAGGATGCCTAGACACTGGAGATATACACATGAATAAGATGATTAAAAAGAGGGGTTGAGTAATTATATTTAGATAGAGTTAAGTAGATTCTATTTTGAATATAGTCTGCTAATTCTCAACCAATTCCCTGTTATTACTCTGCCTTTTCATGGCTGAGGAGATGTTTCTGCTATCCTCACACCCACCTCCTTTCCTTCACACCAAAGCTGTCCTGGCCTTTATCTCCTCATGTCAGACACCAGCCTACTGTCCCGAGATAGAAGAGGCTCCTATATGCTGAGTGAGCTCCTGGAGAGCTGGATCCCTGGGCCCTGACCATGCATGCAGCAGGCAGAGCACGCTCCATTCGCCTCTCTGAAGCCCTCTTTTTCTGGCATTTCTTGGGAGGGTTGGTCTCTCATGGGAGGAGCTGTAGATGAGCCTGGAAGGAGCAGATGAGATGAGGATAATAGAGTAAAGAAAGAAGGGCTCTTTTGTTTTTTCTCCTATCTCTCCAGTGATGTCCTGCCTCAGTTTCCCTGTTAGCTAGATTGTAGCATGGTTTAAACCTTGGACCTACTTACCTCCAGTCCAAAAGATAATTTTTCTTCTTAGAATAGTATTTAAATATTCTTTCCTTTCCCTGAGCAATGTTAGAGTTTGAAAATACAAACTTGAGATTTAAAAAAAAATGAGCAGCAGTCTGCTTGTTGGATGTCTCTCTCATTCCCATGTCTTACCCAGTTTAAGTACTGCCTCTCCATGAGACCTTCCCTACCCATGCCCGTCCACCTTCATTTTCTCCTTTTAAAATTCCTATAGTGTTAACTCTACATTCTCCCATTTTGACATTCAATTATATAATGCCCTGAGTTATTTAACGACTCTGTATGAAATGAACATTTTTTTCCTTTTGTTTAACCCCCAAGCCCAGCCCTATAGCTCTCTACACAGTACTATTGACCAACTAGGTATTGAACAAACTCTTGCTAGAAATGAAATTAACCCAGTAAACATCAGAGTTTTACTTTACCTAGTCTTGTGATAGATGGTGGCTTCATTAACTTCTTTCTCCTGCCCTCTATGTGTTTTTTCTTTTCTTCTTTTTTTTTTTAATTATTATTTTTTTATTTTTGTTTTCTTTTTTCTTGTTTTTTTGTTTTTTGTTTTTTGTTTATTTATTTTTATTTTTATTTTTCCTGCTCTCTAATGGAAACTAAAGACAAGCTTCTGGTGGTGACAGGGACAGAGTTAACTCTTAAATCTGCTCATTGTATTTATTTAGATCCTGGCATGTGCCAACTTACATGATGTTTAGAACTGGTACAGTGGAGGGAGGGAACTAGGAACTAAAGGGCAGAGACAAATAGGCTCTGTTGCTTACTGGTAGTATGAAGTTGGACCAACCCTAAGCCTCTCTAAGCCTCAGATTTTTTTCAACCGTGGTTCAAAGAGACCTGCATTACTTCCCTCCACCTACTTCCTAAGGATGCATCAAATCTCAGAAACAGTAACACATTATGCAAATTAGTAAAGCATACTAATCTAAGAGATTCTTACATCAATAATAATGGCTAATGTTTATGGCTTGCTGAGTTCTCCTGTGTTCCACTGTACTAAGAATTCTACATTTATCAACTCATTTACTACATCAACTCTTTGAAATAGGATCAGCCCTCTGTATCTACAGGATTCAACCATCCATGAACTGAAAATATTTTCTTCAAATGGATAGTTGTGTCTGTACTACATAGACAGACTTTTTTGTCGCCATTTCCTAAACCATACAGAATAACAGCTATTTACTTAGTATTTACATTGCATGAGGTATTGTAGGTAATCTAGAGATGACTTGAAGTGTTCCTGAGGATGTGGGTAAGTTATAAGCAAACACTTGTTCTGTAAGGAACTTGAGTATCTGGATTTCGGTATCCATGGGGGGTCCTGGAACCAGTCCGCCACCCAACCAACAACACTGGGGACGACTGTACTATTATGATTCCCTTTTTGCAGATGAAGAAATGGAGGCACAGAAGTTTTAAATAACTTGCTCAAAATCTCCCAGTTAGGAGTGACAAAGCTGGGAAACAAACCCAGGTAGCCAGCTATGAGGTATCTGTGGATGCCCTGAACAGGAAAAGAGGATTTGGGGTGAAGGGGCGGGAGAATAAATGTAATCCAATAACTTAAGGCCATCTTTTGGGGCAGCAAACAAAGGAGAAGGTGAAGCTTCTGATTCAGCTGGCCGATAGCTTTGTGGAAAAAGGCCACATTCATGCCACGGAGATAAGGAAATGGGTGACCACGGTGGACAAGCACTACAGAGATTTCTCCCTGAGGATGGGGAAGTACCGGTACTCCCTGGAGAAAGCCCTAGGAGTCAACACAGAGGTAGGCAGGGGCTTCGGCCTCAGGACACCCTCCCTTCTCACCTCCCTGAGCACCACTGCCCTTGTCATCAAGGAAGAAAAGCATGTTTCCAGAGCAGTACTTCTGAGCTGTTGACCCGTAGAAGACTTGCCTTGTGTGGCTTTTCTAGTGGGGAGTGCCAGGTGGATCTTGCTGATTCATTAACCTCCAGCCTCCTGGCAAGTGTTGGGGCCTATGGCTACAGAACAGAGTTTTTCTCTATATAGTGTTAACTGTTGACTTTGAGAACGAAAAGCTTTGTCTTGGCTTCGTAAGTGCCATCTTCCACCCAATTATGTTAATCAGCAAATGATTAGAGTCCCCAGTATATATAATAGTACTCTTTCAAGAATAAGGGGTACCATTTGTACAAGGGCTATTTGACATTTCAACTGAACAGAGGTACAATTTGCCATGAACCAGGGCAGATGGACTTTTAATCTCTTCTTTATAATAGGGGTGAGTAACCTGTGAATTAAGAGCTAAATACAGCCTGGCAATTTAATCCTAGGATGTCTGGTTCTTAAATCTTCAAATAGGCTCATGATCTGAAGCAGAGCAGCCTGGAGAGTGAAGTGGCCAAATCACCTAAAGTTAAGAGAGTTAATGTCTCCCCCAGGCTTTAATCTGTGAGTTTTTATCTAGGAAGTTCCATCATATATAAATACCAAATGTTGGTTAAAATTAGCAGGGATGAGCGATGAGAAAGGTCAGCCATTGTTCTGTTATTTAGCTTTCTGTTTCCAAGGAAAATCACTTGTTTAAATAAATATATTTGGTTTGATTATTTTCTTTTGACAAATGAATGATGTTTTTATATCTTTATGTGTTTTTGTTTCACATATTTTTTAAATAGTTAAGAATCAGTCTTAGACTAATTTATAGATGTGTGTAGATTTAATTAGGACCAAAGGCCTTGGGGAAATAGACACCTAATTATCAAATGTGTTTATTGTTTTTTCTTACTGTGGATATTTACCCTAAACATTTGACCTGAACATTTTATTTCTTTCTTATTTGAAAAAAGAATAATGATCCCATGAAGAAGAGTGCTTATGGGTGTGAGTCTGTAAGATCCCTCATGTTTTTATCCTTCTCCATTATATCTTTTTCCCCCTTTTACTACCTCCATCACCTCGAGCGAGTTGCTTTCCCATAGCATCACAAGGTGACCTCGGTGATCTCTCCATGTGCAGGATAATAAGGACCTGGAGCTGGACATCATCCCAGCAAGCCTTTCGGATCGGGAGGTCAAGCTGCGGGATGCCAACCATGAGGTCAATGAAGAGAAGCGGAAGTCGGCCCGGAAGAAAGAGTATGTGTTGGCTTCTGCCCAGCTAGCTGGCTTCCAGTGACTATGCTGGGCTTTCACCACCACTTGTCCCTTTGGATAGCTTAATATGTCCTCGTGACCACCTACAGGGGTTGGGATAGATAGCCATAATGTTTGCATTGAGAATATGGGTTCCCTCTGAAGGCTTTTAAGTATCTCCAGTCTGTCCTTCACCTGAATTCTCTTCATATATCAGTAACTTCCTAGACAAAACCTTCCTCATGGATCATCACATTTTACTTCACAATCTCGAAATGACATGGAACAAACCAAATATTTCTTCTTTTCCTCTAAATTTAATTCTCCTTCTCATTTTCTTTTTTCTTTCTTTTTTTTTTTTTTTACATTTTTTAATTTTTTATTTTTTGAGACAGAGTCTCACTGTGTCACCCAGGCTGGAGTAGTAGTGGCATGATCTCAGCCCACTGCAACCTCTACCTTCCAGGTTCAAGTGATTCTCCTGCATCAGCCTCCCAAGTAGCTGGGATTACAGGCATGCACTGCCATGCCTATCTCATTTTTGAATTTTTAGTAAAGATGGGGTTTCACCATGTTGGACAGATGGGTCTCTGCTCCTGACCTCAAGTGATCTGCCCACCTCAGCCTCCCAGAGTGCTGGGATTATAGGCATGAGCCACCGCATCCAGCCTCTCCCTTCTGATTTTCTAATTCCCATTGATAGTGTCACTAACCTTCTAGTTTTTTATCAGAAATCTGAATTATTTTCAAAAACTTCCCATAGCTTTCATGGTGCCAGTCCCTGCCCAGTTCACCTGCACAGCGATGCCAGGTTTACCTTTCTGGAGTAACATTTTATTATTGCTAATACCAATACTCTTCCTACCACAAGCACCTACATTTGTTATGTCCTAAACATTGCATGAAGTGACTTCACATACATTTTCTCTTTTTATCTTCCAATCACTTCTCTTGAGTAGCTATGATTATTCCCATTTTACATATAGTAAGACTTAGAAAAGCCAAGTAACTTTCCCCAAACCACACAGATGGTGAGTATTGAAGCCAGAATTTAATCTAGCTTTGACTCTTCAATCTTCTTTGATTTCTTTCCAGTATGTCTCTCACCAGATTCAAATTTTAAATGATTTGCTGCTACCCCCAGAATAATGATAAAACTCCTCAAGGTGCTATCTTTTGGCCTCACCTAAGTCAATCTTACTTGAAAGTACTTTCTAGTTGAGATTACACCTTTCAGTCAGATCATTTTTACTGATTCCTCTCGGGTCTAAGAATAAGTTGTATATAATTGAGAATGCTCTTTTTTCTGTTTGTTCTTTTCCCTTTCATTTCCCTTCCTTTTCTTCTGTTTGGCTTTATTTTGCTCTCGGTAAGTCCTATTAATTCTTTAAAATCTAGTTCATATCATATGCCTCTATAAATCTTTTATCTACAACTCCCACTGTCATTGGCCCATCTGTTTTATAAACTCCTTTACTTATTTTCTTTACCAACTCCCATTTTACTTATTCAACCAGTTCGTAAGCATACCTCTTTAACTAGATTGTAGACTCCTTGAAAACAAGAAGTATTTTATACTCTCTTGTATGAATCAAAGGACTAGGAGAATAAGAAAGATAACATAATTATTGATCAAGAAAAGCTCATAGGCAGGGCATGGTGGCTCCTGCTTCTAACTGGGAAGCTGAGGTGGGCAGATCACCTGAAGCCAGGAGTTCAAGATCAGCCTGGCCAACATGGCAAAAACCTGTCTGTACTAAAAAAAAAAAAAAAAAAAAACTGAGGCTGGGTGTGGTGGTGCGCATCTATAATCCAAGCTACTTGGGAGGCTGAGGCATGAGAATCCCTTGAACCCAAGAGGTGAGGTTGCAGTGAGCCAAAATAACACTGCACTCCAGCCTAGGCGACAGAGCAAGTCTCCATCTCAAAATAGAAGAGAAAAAAAAAAGAAAACCTTACAGAATATAATTGGATATAGAAATTGAAACCTTGAGGAAAGGGCAAGACATTATCTAAAATCACATAATAAATAAGAACTGTAACATCAATTTCTTTACTTGAAGTTGAGGGGTTATATCACTGGGCCAGAAGAAAATAAGGCATGCTTTCGGAGGCATTCCAATGCCAGATGGGCCCTCCCCTCACTTGGTCTAGGTATTCAGATTTCAAAAGGAAGAAATAGTTGCTTGGGAATTGGTCCATTGAGTGAATTGTAGATGTTAGAATGTAAAGCTGCCACCTAAGTTTACTCCTAGGTCAGCAGCACTAGCACATGAGGAGACGAGGCAGAGGAAATAGGCAAGAAGAGAGTAGAGGATGCTGCAATTCAAACATTTTGGAAGAATCTGAAGTCGCCTGAGGTTTTCATAAATTGAACTCTGTTTTCTCAGAATAAGAATGAATAGGGGCCAGAATTCATTTAGTGAGCTGGAACCAACTTATCATTAGATTCCTGCTCTGCTCTCTAAGTATCTCAGCTGCACTCTCAGAAGAGTCCTGATTCCAGGTAGGCAAAACACATTTTTCTTCCTTGGTTGTTTGGTAGGGAGTTGTCTACCAACAGTTCACTCTAATCAAAAGTTATAGGGCATCGGAAAGGGGAAACAATCAATCGTGCCAATCTTATAAACCATTTCTTGACACTCTGCTTCCTTTATGTTGCCGTTACAGAGTCACACATACCCAGAGTTTTCTGGAGGACTTTATGAAGAATGTTTTGAAACTCTGTTTGGGAATTACTAGAAAAAAAAAAAATAGTATGTCCTAAGATTAAAAACTTCTGTGTAGTTTCTTTGATCAAGATGAAATAGGACCACAGGTTCCTTGGAGCCGAAGGAACTAAAGCTGCTCCGTGAAGTCAGAGCTTGTTCATATGGGGAGTGTATTCATTTGTCAGGGCTGCTGTAACCAAGTACCTCAAATTGGGTTGTTTAAAGAGCAGAAATGTGTTGTCTCACAGTGCTGGGGGCTAGAAGCCTAAAATCAAGGTGTCAGCAGGGTTGATTCCTTTTGAGGGCAGTGAGGGGACGAGGGACAATCTGTTCTAGGCCTCTCTCCTTAGCTTGTAGATGGCTGTTTCCATGCTTATGTGGCATAATCCCAGAATATATGCCTATATCAAAAATCCCCCCTTTTATGAGAACATTAGTCTTTAGATTCAGGGGCAACTCTACTCTGGTACTACAGTTGTACTGTTTCCAAATAAAACTAAAATCTGAGGTATTAGAGGTTAGGACTTCAGCATATGAATTTCAGGGGGGTCATAATTCAGCCCATACCTGGGAGGGGAATGACGGGACTACACCTGGCCAGATCTTCCTACTTGGTTCCTTCTATGACACCTAATAGCCAGAAGAAATTAAAGGATGGATGGAAAATAAAACAAAATGGGGTGGGGATAGCAGCGCTAAATTGTGCAGAAAGACAGGTAAAACTGCAGGAAGCAGGTGGAAGCAAAAGAACAATTCCAGAAAACCTAAGGCAAGTTTTCAAAGCCCGTCAGTTTATGTTCCTTCTGATCTCCCTTCTGTCCTAGTTTCATAGCAATCTACAGCTCATTTAATCATGAAATGTTTCCTGAGCACCTACCATGCACTAGGCATGCTGCTTACGTGATCTTGTTTCATACCTGCAGAAGTTCTCTGTGATCAGCTATTTTATAAGTAAGGAGTCTGAGAACTAGAGAGGCAAGTCCTACTTCTGATTGTAATTCAGTTCCTATCTGTCTGACTCCAAAGCTTACACGCTTTTTATTCTACCAATAGAGTTCAATTCAAAGAATAGAAAAATAGTGGCTAATTAACTTCTATAAAAAGGAATTTTTGAGTTAGCACTTTGTTCTTTTAAATTTCGATAGGTTTTTAGGGAACAGGTGGTGTTTGGTTATATGAATAATTTCTTCATTACTGATTTCTGAAATTTCGGTGCACCCATCACCTGAGCAGTGTACACGGCACCCGGTGTGTAGTCTTTTATCCCTCACCCCTCTCCTGCCCTTCGGCTGAGTCCCCAGAGTCCATTGTATCATTCTTTTTTTTTTTTTTTTGAGACGGAGTTTCGCTCTTGTTACCCAGGCTGGAGTGCAATGGCGCGATCTCGGCTCACCGCAACCTCCGCCTCCTGGGCTCAGGCAATTCTCCTGCCTCAACCTCCTAAGTAGCTGGGATTACAGGCATGCACCACCACGCCCAGCTAGTTTTTTTGTATTTTTAGTAGAGACGGGGTTTCACCATGTTGACCAGGATGGTCTCGATCTTTCGACCTTGTGATTCCACCCGCCTCGGCCTCCCAAAGTGCTGGGATTACAGGCTTGAGCCACCGCGCCCGGCCCATTGTATCATTATTATGCCTTTGTGTCCTCATAGCTTAGCTCCCACTTATGAGTGAGAACATACACTGTTTGGTTTTCCATTCATGAGTTACTTCACTTAGAATGATGAATCAGTGCTTCAATTTTAGTAGAAAGGCAACTGATAGAAAAATGTATTTTGCTTTAAGGAAAAAATCCCACCAAGATAAAAGTCTAGGAAAAGATGCTGCTCATTTAATATTTCTTACGAAATTTCTAACAGGGGACACTTTGGGGACAGTATTTCTCAAAATGTTCATGTGGTGGAGCACCTGGAAATAGGGATACTCATTATGAACTGCATGAAAAACTGATATAGAAAATGTAAGACATATGTATAAATAAATATTTTATGCTAAATTGCATATCATATACCAGCTGGCAAGCACCATTTCTAATAAAAATTTGTAAAAATGAAGTAGAATACACCACAGTGCGTCCATGCACCGTAAGTTTAACAATTGTCCAAGCACATTGTGTTCTTTAGAGGCCCAAGGAGGAAGAGAGCCCTCTCTTTAAAGCTGCATGGCACACACTTCTCTTTATCAGGGAGTGAAAAGCAGTCACTTATTATTAATTTATACTGTGCTTATGGTTGCATTTTTTGCTTTCTATACATCCATTCATGCTGTAAACAAGTCCCATTGGAAATAGTATTGAAATAGATAAAAGGATAATTTAGGTCAGAGGTCAGCAAATATAGACCAAATTTGACACACCAGCTATTTTATATAGTCTATAAACTAAAAATTATCTTTTATATTTTTAAATAATTGGGAGAATTATCAAAAGAAGAATATCCTATAACGTGAAAATTAGATAAAATTTAAATTTTAGTGTCCATAAATGGTTTTATTGGAACACAGCCACACTTTTTAATTTTTTTTTTTTTTTACACATTGTCTATGGCTCCTTTCACATGACAACAGCAAAGTTGAGTGGTTGTGACAGAGACTGAATTGCCCACAGAGATATCTGGCTTTTTATAGAAAAATTGCTAACCCCTGATCTCCGTGTGTTGGACATCTTTTCTTGGCTTTGAAACCTGGTTTATTATGGTACTAAGAACTGTTTTGATATACATCTACAAACTCTGCTGAACAGAAATCATCATTCTGGGAGCTGTAAGAAAAATGTGGAAAGCTGAGATTCAAGCTATCTAGTTGGTGAGACAGAATATGAACAGTCCTGCATACCTGTACTCACATGGGTATCACCAAAGAATCACAAGTATTGATAGCAGGACTGGGGTGGAAAAGGGAGAGAGAATATGGACCTAGCTGGGCACAAACCTGCTAAAGGGATGTAGAGCTGTAAAGGATGTAAAGAGTCACGGTAGGAGTGACTCATAGGAAGATACTTGGAGGAGTGGGAAGGAATTTTGGAGAAGGGAAAAGACCTGTTGATGAAGTAGAAACATAGGACGTTTTAGAATGTCATACGTGCTGGGGTGGGGAAGTGAAGTTTTAAGGAAGAGAGACATTATATCTATAACCAACTAAAAGCCCATTTGCTTCCTTCTAGATTTATTATGGCTGAACTACTCCAGACAGAGAAGGCTTATGTAAGGGATTTACATGAGTGCTTAGAGGTGAGTCTTCCAGTAATCCATTCACAGCTGTATTGGAAAAATGACATTCTTGTCAGCATCAAGTCCTCAACAGAACTTGGTGCTTTTGGTCTTCTCCCAGAGAGTAATGAATTAAAAAGCCAGCCAGAGGAAATCTTTCTCCTGAAGTCAATAATAACTGCATGGGAGTTGACAGTACTTTTGAAAAGAAAGTTTAAACTTTTCTCAGACTGGAGCTAGACTCAAGAAAAATAAGTATATAAGGCACTTCAATTCAAAATGAAACCATGACACAGTCAATGAATTTAAATTGGGCATGAAAATCTGCATCCTGTCCCCCTCGCCACCACCATACACACATACTCAAATCCACACACATTTAATAAATAACAAGAGACTGTGGAGTTTGTGTTCTTGCTAAAGTTCAGGGTAATGAAATATTCAGATATTTTCTTTCTCTTATGTTTACTGAACACGTCACTTTTTCAACTCTACATGCATTTACAGGTTGAGTCTTGCCCCACAAGTTTGAACACCTGTTTATTTTGTTTGTATTTTATATGGCATGCCAGACTTGCCAGTGATGAAACTGTTACTTTCTTACAGACCTACCTGTGGGAAATGACCAGTGGTGTGGAGGAGATCCCCCCTGGGATCCTCAATAAAGAGCATATCATCTTTGGCAACATCCAAGAGATCTACGATTTCCATAACAAGTAGGTTTGTGGAGGGTCTCAGAGGTGCACACTTAGGGCTGTAAATACCAGATAACGGGGTTCCCAACAAGTGGATCAAAGGTGATAGGTGAGTCTTATCTGGTTAGTGTTGTAAGGCAGTTGCTGTCAGACTTCTTTCCTACTCACTCCCCTTTCTCTGTAATTGTCCAAAAGTCCTAGTGGAGAGTGAAGTCACGTATTCAGCAGTGATCCTCCCCATCCTCAGCATCCTCATGTACTCATTGAAAGTGAATACCTGGCTTCCAAGAAATAAAAGTAGCTTCTCCGCATTAAATCTGGTGGGAAATCCTGACATTAGAATTCATCTGAGGCTAATCAATTCCACTTTGTGGTCTTGGGGTTTTGAATTCCATCGAAGTTTTTTTTCAACCTAAATATTTCCTCCATCCTCATTTTATTTCAAATTTCTTGACAGCTTAGAGGGATGAACATCAACCGACAGTCTGTTTTGTTGGAATAAGTAGAATTGTAGAGCCCTAAAACTTGACAAGTCATTGTTTCTAGCTTGATTTAAGAATCTTTCCCACACCATGCAAAACAATATGTTCCATGGTTAACAGAGGATCAGCAAAAAAATTGGCATAATTAGTTACATAACTAAACAATGAAAATACATAATACAAATAGAATCTCAAGACACAAAGAAGAACATTGGCATGAAGTCTTAGCACTCTGTCAGGACCCTGCTGCAGAGCAGTGCTAAGTCAGGCTAGCTGAGGCGTTTACTGAGTTGTGTAGGCTTGTTGGAGATAGAAGGACCATGTATACAGGTGTAACAGCCACCCTGAGGCAAGACTCCAGAACAGCACCATCCCATGGAGTCTTCTGCAATGATGGACATGTTCTACATCTGCAGCGTCCAGTACAGCATCACTGGATATGTGTGGCTAATGAACACTTGAAATGTGGCTAGTGCTACTAAGGAATGGAATTTTCCATTTTATTTAATTTTAATAGATTTCGATGTAAATAGACCACAAGTAACAAGTGGCTGCCGTATTTGGTATCTCAGCTGTAGAATAGCCCTGTGCTAAGAATGACCAAGAGGCAAGCAAGAATTGGGTGTAAAAGGATCCTGGGCTGTAATAGGTCCAGATAAGGGGTGGAGAGTCATTTGTCTCTTATCAACTCCTGGTTATTAATTCTTGGTATGTCAACAGATGGCATCAGTTTAAAGAGAACATAATATATATAGCTCCCATGACATGCAAACTTTGTCAGATTATTAAAGCAATACATTTCAGGGGTAAAAATAACCTTTTGATTTTCTGGAATATGTGATAAAAGTTCCCAGTCTTTTGATTTTTAATTATAAATTTTAACACCATCCGTTTGGTTTGTCTGGAAATTTCCAGACGTAGAAATATCATGTACTCATGCTTATCATTGATAAGATCCCAGTAAAACTATTTGACCATTGATCCCAAATTCCATCATCTGAGCCCAGCTCAGTATCATCCCATCTCCCTCAGGATATCTGAGAAGACATCGGACTGGCAAACAGTAAGTCATGTTACTTTACTTTTCTGCCTTCTAGTCTCTTGGATTTAGTCAACAAGTCTCACTTTCCCCATGTTCTTAGCAAACTGACTAAATATGGAAGCCTAGAGATCACAGCATACACTTCCTGGGAGCTATATACTCACCAATCATTTTATAAGTGGAATGAATATATGTTTCAAAATTGACCTCTTGTAACAAAATAGCTAACATAATCATGACTTATTTTGTTGTCGTGATATCACTGGTAAGCCGTGGTAAATAGTTTCGTAGTTTTTTAAATAGCTTAAAATCTGCCTACCAGCTACAACATACAGTTCTAAGAAATCCTTTTAAAAATCAAATTAAACCATAGAGAATACTCTATGCTATAAATAGAGGAATAAATTCAACTATCAAGAACATGGCTACCCACCACATTGAGAACATTATGAAGAAACAAGAAGAAAATAGCAACTAGCCTCTCAACAACCAGAAGAGATGTCACAAAAATTAAGTTCTTACATTTTCATAGAAGCATCTTTCTATCCTCCCTGACAACCACTTTACCTCTTGATTATATAGTTTGGAGGCCCGCAGCAATTTAGAAACAGCAAATAAGAATCAAGAACTTGAGCGAGTAGTGGGATACCAGCAACATAAAGTAAGACCTGACAGGAAAGAAGACAGATAAACTGCAAAAACAATAGGCAGTAGAACCAAAAAACATCACTGTGGTCAAGGGCTACTCGGTATTGATGGAAATCATTCTGTATTCCACGATAGGGCCTAATACAGCCACTGTGTTACAGCATAGCATAATATTTAATATTAGTGGTAACCTTGAGTCATTAATATGTTCCGCACAAAAGGAAAAGAACTCTAGTGCATTTAGAAAGCTATTGACCAAAAATAAATTAATGGTTTAAATTATCCACAATTTAAGGAAACATCTAAGAAAATCGGCTTCATATTAATTTCCTACAGGATCTGTGGACTGAGACTTTACTGTGCTCATAATGTATACTTTCTACTTGTGTCATGCAAATTTTGATTAATGAAGAAAATATAACACCTCTATAATCTCTAATAAATAAGAGATAAAATGGCAGTTAGCCAACTTAGAAAATGCAGGAATTGTAAACTCTAAGGGACAGCTTAGATGGGAGAACATCTTTCACTACATAATCAGGTGCTTGGCACATAAGTAAACATTGAGTAAATGTTTGTTTGGTAGGTGAATGCGTGGATGAATAAACTAAAATTAAAAGTACAATTTGAAGACTTACAGCTAACACCATTCAAGTCATAATTTAATCTTCTGTTTGTAAAAGTCCTAAAACAGAGCTCTAAGATCATTAGGTATTTTTTTTTTCCCCCACCACTATAAGAACCGTCTGCAAGAGCAAAATCATTTAATTTCTACATAATGCAGTTTCTTGGAAGCTTCTTACTGGTAGACCATACAGTTGTCCTAATACTTATTTATTCTTCAGAAATATTTCTCTGAAGTGGTCACTTCTCAACGTGAAAGAAAAAATCAAAGGGTGCTTTTTAACCCCAATTGCTTGTATGATTCCAAAGTTGCAATTAAGCACTGTCTAACAGAAACATGCTCCTCTCATTTCTAGTGAATAACTCAGGTTATGTGCCTGTAATCCAGAGAGAGCCTATGGGAGGGAGAGCAGGAGGGAGGAGTATTGAGTGATTGAGAGATTGAGAGGAAGGGATTGAGATTGACACTACCTTGCTAACTTAATTAGCTAAGTCACTAGAAAATTAGCACCTAGACGAAGGGTTATGTGGTGAATACATATCTTAGCTAGATAGTATTGATCTGTCTAAATGGTGTCACTTTGAAAAATTGCAACCAGGGTTAGTTCTCTGTCTTGCTCTGTGTGTGTGTGTGTGTGTGTGTGTGCCGCACGCGTGCGTGCGTGATCTGTCTCAAGGACCTTTGTCTTTATAGATATTGAATGGGGAAATTCCCAAGCACCAAAACTTCTTTAAAAAACAGTTTAGTGTGTAGAATTTAATACCTGCAAACACTGGCTTTAACACAAATTGAAGTGGAATGATGCTTCGTTTGCCCTTTACTCTCCCCATTTTGTACTACATCTCTTTCCTACAGAAGTAAATATATAGATCATGAAATTTACTTATCTACGCAAGACTCAGACTTACTCAGACAGAAGAATATATTCCATAAGTAGATCCCCAGACAGTATTGGTTACAGATAAAGAGATAAACCCAGAGGAACCTGTGACTTGCCCAGTGTGTGCCTCTCCCCTTTCCTTAAAGGTCAGGTGTTGGATTCCAGGACTTGGTTTCCCACTTCAATACTCTCTCTTCTTTCACCCTCTAGACCACCAATGGTGGCTGCCACATCTGGCTGGTTTAATTCATAGTTAACTAGCTTCCTTGTGGATCTCAAAATTTGATGAATATTTCTACCCATTTCTCCCAGAGCTATGTCATTCTTGTGCCACACCCCTACAACAATTACCTGAAAGTGAATCAGTTTTCTACAAGGTCTAGAAATTCAAGTTGGGGACCAACCACCAAGGCTGGAAGCCCCTCCTGCATACTCCCTCCCTCCAGGCTTGGCTAGAAGCTATTAGATTTGGCCTTGGCTACCAGCCACTGCCCTCCCAGCCGGGTGTTCCCTGCCTAAGGCTAACGGAACAGGACCAGAGCTGCGTCAGGCTGAGCTGGGAGCACTGGCCAGGCCAAAGCCAGCCAGGAGCTGTGAGGGGTGAGCAGCAGGGGTAAAATCAAGGCTGGAAAATTTAGGGAGGGACACTCCAATGAGAAAGTGAACCACAGCCACATTTGGGTCATCTTCCCAGAGCTCCTCCTTTGGGCCAAAGATGTATTAGATTGGAGATGAAGCTGGTACCTTGTGATCAAACCCAGCCTCTGCCCTCTGGGTTCTGAGAAGGACATACCTGTCTGTGATAAGAGTAGAGGTGGGTACAAATGGAGCACAAAGAAAATAGCCTCAGTTGGAGAGTAGGAAAGGCTTCCTGGAGAAGGGGGCATTTGAGATAGAATTTAAATAAGAAGGGATTTTTACAGGCAGAGACGGCTTCCTTGATGATGGAATAAAGTTTGAACAAAGGCTCTGCAAGGGAGAAAAGTGGTGAAGTCTAGCAGGGAGCTGGAGAGAGGCAATAGGAAGTTTGGGAGTGGGGCTCCATCCTGGGTCATGGGAAGCAGAGAGAGGTCCCACTGTCACACTCCCAGGTAGGTTGTGTCTTAGCAAACGATGTCTGTAAGATTGAGGGAGGAGAAAGGAGAGGTGATGGGCAGAGATAGTGCAAGTCGGAAATGTGGGGAGAGACAAAAGGAGAGAGAGCTATGTGGATAGGGGATAAGTGAGAAAACAGTGAAGTGAGCAGATCATAAGGAGAAAGGAAGAGATAAAGAAGGAGGCAAGTAGGAGAGCAAGAGGGAGGCAATAGTGGGGAGAAGGCAGATAGGTAGGTAGGGTAGGCAG